ATTCGAGCCACAGAATTCGTTTTGGCATCGTTGGATAGAGAATTGAAAAGTCGATTCAGCCGTAACAACGTGAGTGAGGAAATTCGAGTAGTTTTGGGCCAGAAAGCGAAATTTGAATATCAGACATTTAGGTGCAAGATTATGCAAAAATTCCATGTTTTCCGTCCCGTTTTTGCTCATTTCTCGGAGGCAAAATGATCAAGAACGCTCATTTGTACATCATTATAGACCGAAATAAATGGCCTTTTTAGAAAGTGAACCATCGATAAGGAAATGTTGGCAGTTTTCTCAAAAAAGGCTTGAATTCAAGAAGTTTCAGATTTGAGGGGTTTTTTTTTTAGTTGCAAAATCTACTTGAACATGACGCTGCTTTTTTCGAAGTTTCTCAAGAACCATTCGAGCCACAGAATTCGTTTTGGCATCGTTGGATAGATAATTGAAAACTCGATTCAGTCGTAACAACGTGAGTGAGAAAATTCGAGTAGTTTTGACCCACGCTCATTTGTACATCATTATAGACCGAAATAAATGGCCTTTTTAGAAAGTGAACCATCGATAAGCAAATCTTTGCAGTTTTCTCAAAAAATTGACCTTCGGTTTCAATGAGCTGCTGATCGATCGTTTACAATAGCACATAAAAATTCATCTTAGCCAAAAATGTTCGTATTTAGCGGACAAATGCCTGTTACACTTTGTTACAACTTGATTATTGAAATGTATTTAAAGCAACTGTATAGCAGGTTTAAATTTTTAAGTTTTTTAAAAACGACAAATATTTTTCTGATCTTTTATCGATTCAAACAAACAGTAAAAATATGAATAAGACAGAAGACGTGAATAAAAACATTGCAACGAAGATCAAATGTTAACATTTTAATGTACATTTAAAGAAAACTAAAAAGTATCCCCAATTGTCGCTCCTCCCGAACACTTTTGGGATCCAGATAATGATTTACCGTTAAACAGGTCTTCTCCTATCCTAAATAATAGATCCATCATCTATCGTCCTCAACTCATTTTCAAATGTATCGAAGACTCATTATTAAAAATCTCGTCAATTGCGACAAAATTGAACATTTAACAACGAAATGTTGGAAAGCCAAATTTGCATCGGTTGATTATTGTTGCAAGTAGCCCCAGAATCCGTAGTACATCTTCTGTAGAAACTAGCTTTCTACGATAGTTTCCCTGTTTAGATAACTGCTTGATCTACAATGCATCAATAGCAGTGGCCAAAATGCGCCTTCCCAAATGGTCCGAACCATTCGCTGTTGGATTAACAGTTGTCCTCATTGATTTACCTTATGATATTGTTGGTGTAAAGTTTGTGCACTGGTTCTGGCACGACACAGATCCCAACATTTACGATAGGCACTACTCAGTCCCATGGAATTCTTACTACTTTCATTCCGCATTTACTTGCAGTTTTGTTTTCTGGTTCCATTTTCTTAGGCGCGTATTTTGCCAGAGCAAAGGAAAATGGTTCAAAGGAAAAAGGTACCATCAAACCACAAACACTAATAAATTATTAATTGATGTCTTTCAGCTTTTTAAAAGAATTCTTCGCAACTTTCTTGGCGTCTTTATTGGGGCCCATTGGTGGCTTGCCCCTCTTCATTCCGATATACCATCCATTGCATGATGTTTTTAACATTCACAGTGAAGTTACCTATTTCATTCTTTTGACTATCTTCTTACTCCTAATTTGGAGTGGCGATAGGTTGAGTAGATCGAACGAAGTTAATTGGAAAATTCCCAATAAAACACATTGGACAACGTTTTTGTTAATATTGCATCTGGTACTTCATTATACTACCTTCTGGATTATTCCGATTTTATTTAATCCTGAAAATGAGATATCTACAGGGATTAAGGAGCAAATCGGGCCATGCAACGAGTATGTTCCTGTTCAAACTATATCTGGAATGGTAATAGAATGCATTCGTAAAATACAACACAGTTCGATCAATTTATTCTTTTATATTTAAGATTCTTCAGAAAAGGAAGTACTTATGCCTGAGCGACTACGACGAAACGTACTTTGACTGGCACTGTTTACCTAAACAGCAGCACCCAACTAATAAAGCGCTGTGGTATACTTCCTGCGGAACCCCATTTGAAAATCGCACAGAATATATTGCTGTAGTATCTTTAATTTGCCTTTTGGCATCCGTCGTATTTTACAATCTTCATTTTAAATCCTTCGGCGATCAAGTGTTTTCGCTAACGGATGATCAACTAAAACTTTGCAACCCAAAATTAAAACGCAAAAAATTATAAAATTGAATCACACAAATTAATTAGTTGCTTGAAAATGTACACGTTGTTTTTTATATGTTGGGTACATTATACATATATTATTACATAAGGTTTATAGCAGAATATTTTTCACATACACACTGTACAGGGATGATTCAAGTTTGCGTCGTTCCTCCGGATATACTGTCGGTAGGTATTCAGAGAGTACAGAACAAATTGTAAATATATTTATTTCCACCCAAAATGGAGTTGAATTGAACCAATGAACAAAGGTAACAAGTAAAAATAAATGGCAAATATTAGTAGCAGTAGGCAAGAATTCAATGTTTGAAAACTTAATTATTCACTGGAGTTCCCAAAATACACTTATTACATTAGTTTAATCGCAGAACTGCTCAACTTTACTGCACAACATCAGTTCTCATTTTTTCCAAAAATGTCTCAAATTGATGTTATAAAAACGTTTGCTAGCGACAAAAGTTGATAGAAAGTGGCTTTCATTAGGAATTGCGGCCATTTTTACATTCCAAGAAAAATCAATTTGCTTATAATAAACATCACAGCATAGATTCGGTGCGTTTCTCTTGTAGAAGACTGGACCTATTTAGATCCAGACAATGTTATATATGTTAAGCTTTGAAGAGCAACGATGCAAACTAATCACATTCGCGTTTTTGGATGGGGTTTGCAAATGGGAGCAAATCCCAATATTTCCAGTGGTGATTTTTCATAAAAAAATGTAAAATGGTAATTTTTGTAAATAAATTATTTGCGTAAGATTAAGCAAAATTGGCAATGTTTAACTATATTACTAGTTCTCCAAATAAAGACTGAAATGGTTTAAAATTTAAAATCTGAGTCGAAATCTGCACAAGATTGGCACTTACTAAGCCTAGTTCTACTTACCCCACTTGTTGTCCAAAACATTTGGACATGAAAAAAATATAATTTAAAGTTTTCTGTTGAAATCTATAAATCCAGTATGCTAGCAAAAGTTTTGTTCCATTACCTGTTACCCATTACCAAAGTTTTAGCTCAGTAATAAATTAATTCAATTGCAGGATTGGTCGTAAGTTTTAAAGCTATTGAAGACAAAGAAACAATGTATATTAATCCAACTAATCTTAAGAAACTCACAGCAAACTTCGCACTTATAATAACATTGATAAAAACATGAAGAATCGATTCATAAACACCCACATAAATTTAAAAAAAATTAGTCTAGAACTTGATAAAGTACAATTGACGCAATAACTATGAAAACGGTTAGAACTAACAACCAGTACTTCTTAAGAAAACTGCCATTTTCTTCCTCTTCATGAACTCGTCGATCTTTATTTTTCTTTTTCCCGGAAAACTTCTTCTGATACAACTCCAATTCTCTTTGGTTTCTTATTTCTTCTTCCCTCCGTTTAATTGCTTCATCAGCCTCAAGTTTTTCTTTTTCTTCTGCTTGCTTTTGAAGACAAATCTCATCGCATTCGACTACAGCCAGCCCTTGGCGGACTGTTTCGCATTGAAATTCTTTTTTAAGGCGCTTACATTTGCAGAAAACTTTGATCTTTTTCTTACACAAATCGGAATTTGGACAGTCTCCTGAGTGGCAATTGGTTTTGCAGCGATGACCACAAACATACTGAAAAAAAAAATGTTATCCTAACAACGTCTAGTAGATAGTGATGTACTAACTGGCGATTACATGTATGACTCAAATACGACAAATTTGTACTTAGAACCTATAGGGACTCTTAAACTCCTAGCAAAAGTTGTTCATGAAGTTATGAAGAATATATAAACATAAGTTGAGTATTGACTAGGCACATTTTCCGATTTCTTTCATTCAGTGTACACGTTAGAAGTGTACGCGGTTGTTTGCTGTCCGCACTTTCACTAAATATACTTACATTTTTTGGGCACTGATTTCCACAACTCTGTAGTTCTTCACGTTTCTCCACATTCAGCCAGCTATTGCATTGGACATAGGGCTGAGTAAGACCACAGTGGCATTTAATTCTCAACATTTGCTTGCAGGGTGGACAGCGATCTGGATGGCACGGTTTCGGACAAACGTGAGTGCATCCTTCCGGTCGTGGTTTAGAGCAGGCCAGTTCGCAAATTTCGCAATTGATCCCGGCCTAATTTCAAATATTTAGCAGGTAGACAAAGAACAGTTTATTCGGCGTACAATTTTCGTATTTTTAGAACCTGAACGTGTTCGGTATGTTTTAATTTTCCTTTTTGCGTATTTCAGTTTTGTTTGTTTCGCTTTTATACTCTTTGTCTTCATTTAGCAAAACTATACTTTTTCCTCAAAAATCTCAGTTAATAGATTTTGCCATTATTCTTAAAATATAGGCATTTTTGGGCGTCAGTCTATATCAGCTTTTCTTGATCGTTTAAACGATGCCGATAATTTTTACGTTAAAATTTCAGACAATCAATACGCTTCAATTGTGATGTTAAATTGAAAAGCTAAGTAAGTTACAGCGATATTGGATAACGCCAAAAGTAAACTCCACCACTTACCTCGACCTCACTATTTGAATTTTCGACCAAATGACATTGCAAAGAACATGAATGGTTGGTGCACTTCAACAAGCGCCCACAAGGCCGTCCACAGCTGGCAGGTTTTGCCAAATGACACGGCCAATCGACGGTTTCGTGTTTTCCTGTAAGCAACAAGTGAATATAAAATCGAGAAACTTATGTTTTCTGGAAAATATGTGCTTTAAGCTGCCTATATATTTTATCTCACGCCAGTGAGACGCGATACAGATTACTTTCGCGGGGATCGACTAAAACATTGCTCCCACTATGACCGACGATTCTCCGACGTGCAAGTTTCAGTTTCAATGATTCGGATATAATTCTATTAACTGTTTACTATTGGAATGTACTATTGAAACACAAAACTTAACAAAATTATTGGTTATTACCTAAACACGTAGTCTTTACAGGCACTTTGCAAACTGGACAAGGTTGATTTTGTTTCTGTAACTGCGGCGCACTTTGCTCCCATGGCATGCTCCCCTGTTGAGCCTCAATTTTAACAATTACAGCGGCATGGCAAGTGGCTGAACATGGATGAACGCAATTTGGTCTTCGCTTGTTGCAAATTTGCCTGCAAGGAGGACAATCACCAAAGTGGCATTTGTGATTGTCGCGTTTTTCGTGATGACACTCTGGAGGCGTCCTGTAATTAAAACGAATAATTCGGCAATAATTAAAAAAAATCTAAATTGTCCTAGATAGTTGCTTTTAAAATGCCATTTATAAAGCCTACAGGTTTGCATTGTGAAGTACTTACACACATAACTTGGAGCATCTAGGTGGTTTAACTTTTTGCTTTCGACCACAAGGCACGGTAATTTTCGTAGATCCACATCGGCAGGAAATTTCCTTGGTTTTCTGGCATGGATAGCACAGGCCACTGTGACATACCGAAGAACACTTATGGTTGCCACATTGAAGAGTATTTCCACACGGTTTTTCACAAGGCGGGCAGTTTCCGTCACAACACTATTAATAAAATATTTTTAACCAACACAAAACAAAGGATTAATAAAAAAGTAAAGGTTTTCGCGGCGTTCCATTAGAATCCTGCAGGAACTAACAGTTTATCCAAATAGTTCCGGTTTGCATTAGTTATTTCTATTCAACATTCTTTTTAACTCTTGATTTGTGTTCAAATAAATCTGGTTTGTATTTGTGGCATTAAACAGCGCTAAGGGCTAACAAGAAGAACACAACCTCTTAATCAATAATCGCTTACTTTTCGATTGCATGGGTGTTTATTACAATCCCTGATTCTCTTGCATTTAGTTTCACAGAAATACTGCTTGCTGCATTGTATTTCCTTGGAATGTTGCCCACATCTACACCACTTTGTTATAGTTTCTAAACACTGAAATAATTTCTTAAATGTTCAATCTCATCGGTACAATATAAAAATATTTGATCTTACATATTACCAATAAAATTCAGAACAGTTAAAAATATACGGCACAAGAAGCAACATGCGGACAAAATCTATCACCCTACACTCGATCCAAATCCAAGACCATCCAAAGAAATGTACAGTGCGCGATCACCAAAAATGAATTTCCGTTTGAAATTGTATTCTAATTATGCCCTAACTTTTGACTGAATATTTTCTTAGTCGGTGCTCTCAGTTGAATATTTTTTTCACCGAATCACAGTTCTATCCTTGTACAAAAATCAAGTTAGAAAATTGTACCCGGTGTTTAAATATGTACCATCATGTCTTCTTGGTCAAAGTTTAAACAATTCTGCAGGCAATATGGGGTAGCCCAGATATATAACAAGTATCCGGTATCACAGCCTTTTGCCTTCCGAGCAATTTTAGTTGTCTGTTTAGCCATTCGAGAGATAACTATTTCCTTATGACCAGTCATAATTTTTTGCGATTTTTTAAACTTGTGAATGAAATTTCTGGCAAAAAGACTGAGCGAATAAGATTTCAGGTTTATTTAAAGTTTTCTTTTCTCTAAGGGTAAGGTATTTTTGTTTTCACTACTAATAATATTGTTTTTTGTTATGTTTCTTTAGGGAGTTACATGCGTAACATAATAAGCAGAGCTTTAATTCGATAAAAACAATTGTTCAAATCGTATTATCGATTGAGATAATATTTGCAGTGAAAAGTTGGGGAATATTTGGTTTAAATACTCCCTAAAATTTCACCGTTAAATTTACGGCGCGGTTTATTTTAGAAATTCTATATTTCACGTGTTTGTTCCGCGAATTTACTTTAGCTTGCCCTGTTTAGATTTGGATGGATTGTACTAGTTATAAGTTTGATCCATTTTACTCAAACTGCCTTAATTCCTGTTCAAATCGTGCACTTACTAGACCACATTTATCCTTGTGACATCGATAGTTGCATGTATGCATGCCACATTCCAAAAGTTTATCGCATGTGGAACCACATGTTGGCGTGTCTTCTGTGCACGCTAAATTATATGTGGACTTTCCACAGGGACAAGTGCGCGGTTTAGTTAAGACACAAGAATTACAGACTCCCGCATGACAAGATTCGTCACATTTGTGATTCCCGCAATCCAAAGGTTTGCCACAAACCTGCAACCAAACAGTTGAAACATAAAAAAAAACTGTTTCTCTTTTTTACCTTTTCACATTGCCAAATTGGAAACGCACAATCTCTCAGCTTCTGTTGAGAGCTGCACATGCATTTCTGGATGCTCTTCTTCGCACAAGGTTTACAATCGCCGGAATGACACGCATCGGCACATGAATGTTTGTCACAGGATAACAATTTACCACAACGGTTACCACAAGACCATCCTTTACTGCAACATCTTCTAGTTGAAGGCTGTTGCGAACCACAATAGCAGGTTACATTTACTGTTACTGGACAAGGTGGACATGGCCCTGAAAACGATTTTAGATATAAATGGCTAAAAATTACATAGATTTAATCTACCGCACTTAAATACAAAGTTGCATGCTTGAGTTACTGAGTGAAAGTCCGAAGAGTTTCTACGACGACGGGGTTTCGGACCGATTGGAAAAATTCATTTCTGGGGTGGAAATTTATGTAGAAAAATAATGTTTTCTAAATATTGCCCAATAAAGCAACAATTTCAAATATAAAACCGCTCGGTTTCTACTTGATACACCATCGTAGTTAAAGGTTTGGCAGATTCATGCATATTACGGCTACCCTAAAAATATTTTCTACAAGGTGTATCCTAGATATTTTTTGTCTATTGTTGATGTACATTTGTATGCTTTATTCAGGTCAATATTAAAGTGGTAGAGTCGAAATTTTAAAATTTTTGCTCGCATAAGAAATACAGGGAAATGAAATAATTCAAAATAATCCTATAATAAGAGTTTCTTTATAATGATTGCGGAATAATCTGCCATTTTCCAAAATAGTCGGACGTAATAACGAAAAAAGTAATCGGACCTAAACTATGTTGACATTGTATTAACATTTTTAAGATCGATTTAATTTTGACATATGAGTTTGTAGAAAATGTTTTTTTAATTAAAAAAATTGAAAACGCATTTCTTATATTTGTTATATTTAATTTAATATGTACTCGTATTAGCATTCTAGAGCTGATGAGAAGATCTTTTTTTACAAAAAAATAATTTGGTCAGATGAATGTCGAATTACAAGTTACGGTATTCTTAATAGACATAATGAAAGGCATTGGAACTTCACAAATGATACTTGATTTGGAGTAAATAGAAGTTATTCTTTGCATTAAATTAATCTGACGTATAGCGGTTCAGAAAAAAAAATTAAATGCAGATAGATATCCGAACATACCTACTCCAATCAAAGACACCTTTTTTATTATGGATAAGGTATAAGTATATGAATACAATTTCAATAATGGACCAATAAGGTGGCCACCACGATCAACGGATCTAACACCTCCAGATTTTTTACTTTGGGGAATGTTGGCAAATAAAATGTATAGAGAAGTCATTTTAACCCCAAAACAACTTGATCAAAGAATTCATGACGCCTCACACATCATGAATGATTTAAAACCCATTCAAAAAGATGCCCATAGTGCGTTGAAAATAACGGACGAGTTTTCGATCATTTGTCATGATTTCAGTTAATTTAGTTCTTAAACTGATTCTTTTATTTCGTTTCAAAGTTTCTTCAGTTTTCTAATTTACTTTCTTGTGCCAGCTGTTAAAATTTATTGTATAATGTCTTTTCAGCTAGAATATCAACATAGTTTAGTTAATAAAGTTTAAATAAATTGCATACGAAACCAAATCATCCATGCTGTTATATTATTGAAAATAGAACTTAAAATGCCATATTTTTAGATTAAAATATACAGACTGATCTATTGAAAAAAATGAGCTTAGGTCCGATAACTTTTTTCTTGACCCAACAACATGTTTCTATACCTCTTATTGAGTTTTCTCTGTATCTCTTAAGCGAGCCAAAATTTTGAAATTACCATTTTGGTTTGACTTAAAAACAGCCCATACACTTATTTTTTTTGATAGCACTAACAAGTACAGAGATACAAAAGGGTTGAAAATGGGACACCCTGTACAAAACTGGTCCATTGCAAATTGTTCATTGAAATACATTATCTTATCAACAGTTTTCGTAGTCAAATCAAGTTGTGAACAACAGATCTGTTCGCATTTAAGTTCCACAACCGATAGGCAGAAAATGTACACGATGTTCGATTTTAAATAAGGGTAAAAATATGGTACCTTAGACGGCAAATCCTTAAATATTAGTAACGTTTTTAGTTTAGGGTGGTGTTCATTCAATTTGTTGCCAGTATTTTCAAGGAAACCCAATCCGTTAGAAGAAATAGAGGAAGACCATTAACTTGCCCGACAGACGACATCACAAAAAATTAGATTCATAGCGCTCAAGACAGAAATTAATGGTGAAAATATAATGAAACTCAACAAGGGGAGGCCTATGTCCAGCAAGGATATTAAAAATTAAATTTTTATCAGATTTTAGTCGGTTGTATGGAAACTATTGCCGCAATATTAAATATAATTTTAGGGATCTACACAGTAGCTAAGTAGAGTCCCAACTGATGCTAGAAGAACAGGGTGTCCTGTTCAAAAAAATATATAATACGACAGGCTTATTTTTTGGGACACCCTGCATATTGACAGGCATTTTGATAATGAACTATAGGCCAAATGGCAAAGCTATTTGCGCTGTTCATAGAATTTTTCCAAAATATAACGTGTAAGTAACAAAAGCAATTGAGATGCGGGACTCAGCATTTAAATATTCGTTTTATTAAAAATTAAACGCATTTTATACCTTTAGGTTTATGTAAAACCAAACAGTTTCATTGCCGTTAAAATACATACATATTAAACTTGTAATGTAAAATGTACAAATGAGCAATTTGAGCAGAAAGTTGCAAGCATTAAAACATCATTTCAGATTTTTTAAAAATACTGTAATTATTTTCAATTTGCTTTGAACATAGTAAATCCCTTTGGAACCACCAATAGTTGATTAACCGGATATCATTATTTCAACTATTTTTGCCACAGTGTATGTTTGTTTACATAAAAAATTTGTTTGCAACTGCGCCAAGTCAACTTGTCGCCACAGACAAAGGGACTGTCTTTGCTAAAATTGACCGGAAGAAAAGATGATATTTCGCATCGTAATCGACAGACATTTAATTTAGTGGTGATTTCGATGCGAATGTGACTGTATTATTGACTTGAAGTGATCCAGATAGTCGTTAATATAACAGACATATTTTTGTCATATTTCGGCGTTTTGCAAAATCGGGATATATCTCGGGAATAATAGTAGTGTGTAAAGTGCGGTAAAACCCCCAGTAAAGTAAAATACTGTTATTTGCAAGTGCGGAAAGTGCATTTAAGTTTGTGGTCCACTAGAAATACAGAAAAACGAAGATATCTAGAAGTACATCGAAAACAAGTTGTTTGGTTAAGGAATTGTCCGCTGGCTAAGAAAAGGTACGTGATAATATCCAAACAAGTATAGTACAAGTAGTTGTGACGCAATATTTTCAAGTCGCAAAAACTATAAAATTGTACATATTTTCAGGCTACTAAAACACCAGGACAGCACAGTTTTCTTATCTTAACTTAGGAAAAATATCGCCCTATACCGGGTGGTGCTTAACTAACGCGGCAACATTCATTGACAGATTGTTTAGGAAAAATATCGCGTTTCAAGCAAATTTGTGTAAATAAAAATCAGTTTTTTTAAATAGATTTAACCAGTTTTACTATTACCAAAAAAATATCGGTTTGTTTTTTTTCTAGACCGAGAAATGCAAATTTTCTATTACTTTCCTTGTAGTTTCTACAGGGTTCTAGCCGCAATAGTTTATTTACAATTTTAATCTAGTTTAATTCAATCTTACAAACAAAATTTAACAAACAATAAACAGTGTTTTTATTTAGGCACGCTAAGAGCTACTTTAAACTACTTTTTAAAGTCAGTAAAGTATTTGAAAATTATTTCAAAATAACGGTTCGAAATAATCTCCCCTGACTTAATAGATTTACTAACCCTTTTAATAAATGATTGAAGGAAATAAAGTTTTGCAGCGGAAGTCTTCTGCAATGTTCAATAAATGGGCATTTTCAATAAATTCAATGCAATAGTAGAAGTTACAATATTTCTTTAGCACTTAACTGATACCAAACTGATAGCAAAATAATGTTTGCTCATGGCCGACTTAAAAATGCCAAGTCACGACAATATTAGGGATCCAATTTGAATTAGTGCAAAAAATCACTACAGGTTTCAATGTGAAATATGTATTTGGAAAAAGGTGAAATATTGCAAATGTATATCAAGCTGGATCAAGTTTTTTTGCTTAACAAATACGGGAGAACGAAATATTGCCAATAAAAAAACGGAATCTAAAAAAGTTCTGATGTTTTAAACTACCCCAAACTAGCATCTAGCGCTCTATACGAATAACAAGCTAAGTAGGCTAAGTAGTTCCAATAGGAAATTTGGATTCCTCGGCCTAAAAACTTCCGATCACAAACTTTTTTGGTAGTTATAATCTAGTTAAGATTTAATTAAAAAAAAAACAATTTTTTTTACACTTTGACACCCTGTACTTTGGAAACCATTAACCTTCAGATGAGAAAAATTTCCCGAAACGCAATATTTGTATTGGTATTGAGGACCACCCTGTAAATAAATTTCCATGCAGACGCAATCTAGCTAAAAGATCGTAACGATTGTAAATTGCTAACATTTTTTAAGCCAGCGATTTGCAATAACAAACGGTAGCAAACCAACTTCAAATAGTCAATTTTTTTCTATTCTTCTTATACAAGAAAACCTTGAAATTTACAACAAACCAACATTTAATTGCCCAGCGAATTAACAGAATATTTACCTGGATGACATAGTAGTAAGCACTTGTGTCCACAAAGTGGGAGCAAATTCTTCCTGCAAATTTCTCCGCAAGAATGAGGCACTAAAAATGGTTGATAGATGGGGTTCTCTGTTTTTCCACAGAAACAAACATATTTAGTTGGATATTGATCGGGCATATAATCAGATCGGCATTTAGGACAACACCAGCACAGCCTTTTTTCTGATACAGTTTGATCTTCAATTCTTTGTTTCTGTTGCATTACCGTGTCTTTGGACCATCGTTGAATACAATCCAAATGAAAAGCACCAAAACAACTTACGCAGCTCCAAATCTAAAATTGACAAATTTTTATATGCAACTATCTGCGTATAAAAATTAACAGATATAATTCACCTTATCATCTCTTTTAACTCTTGAAATGCAAATTAAACAAGTATTTGCTCCTGAAAGAAACGATTCCTGAATAAAGTTTTGCGTTTTAATCGTTTGATCCGTCGTTCCACCAGTGTCATTATATTGTTTAAGTACAGTACCTAAAATAAAAGATAACAGTTAAATAAAATATCATTCGGTACGTTCGCTAAAATAACATACTTTCCACATGTTTAAAGTTTAAATATACATAGTGCTGGTTAAGTTTTAAGTATGCAGATTCATTAAATTCATGTAGGAAAACATTTTTTACGAAAGCACACGTTTGGAAGAAAATTCAATGTTCAGCACCCAGTATCAATAAGTCGGGAAAAAAGATACTTGATTTTTTTTTAAATAGATGTGGATTTTCACAGCTATGGAATACATAAAGAACTAGAAACTCGCAAAGGGGCATAATTTATGAGTGTTGCACTTTATAGGGTGAACATGTATTAGGTAACGATTTTAATCAGATCTATAGGTTCAGAACCTGTTTGTTCGTGGCGGTTAGTCGCGTGTCTTTTTCTTTGTACTTGCATTTGTCTACACTTTCTGTTTCTAAATGCTTGAATGAACTTTCTGTTTCTAAATGCCTTATTGTCTATGATCCATTTGACTGAGATACAAGACCTACCTTGGTTGGGTTTAGAAGAATTAGAAATTTATTTGGGATATTTCAGAAAGTTATCGTATGAATTAAATGTTGCGCAAAAGAAGACAAGGGTAATTTTTCATTATCAAAAATGTGTGCTACGCAAATTTGTAATAAAAGGAATTATTGTGTATATAAATACAAGAATGAATTGGCATTTGGTTTCTTATCATCTGTAATTGGTTTCTTATCATCAAGAGCGATTCTATCACAAGACAATATGTACAACAAATTTCCGACAAGCTCGCATATGTTGAATTTTTTTCCGGGGAGTCACCTAGAACTAATTAGATTGGTTATTTAGATGTTTTTCACGTTAGCCCCCATACGTTAGAAAAATTAAATCCAGTCAGACACCAAATTATTTCTCTCTATCTTTCGGACTCGCTCATCATTGAGGCCAACAATTTTGCTTTTACTGCTTCTAATTGAGTAAACTTACCCAACAGCTGAACTGAGTCCAAATCATCTTCATCTGATGAAGACTCGTAATCGTTTACATGTTTCTGGACAGAGTTGTGCAGAATGGCCTGTGCTTCCTTGAATTTCACCTCCCCACTGGTGCTCAAAGGTGGCCCGAGATTATTTCCCTTTTTTTGAGGCTTTTTACCTTTTGGAGCATTTGTTTTGGCCCATGGATTTGTTTTCGGTCTATTACCCGAACTCATTATGTCTGTGATGAGTACCAAAATAAAACAGTGGATTATCAGATATAACTAGTCACCAAAACTGAACTGATGAAATCAATAAACCGCAAAACGTTGAAATGGATTATATTTCAGTAACTTCGCGTTTTTTATAAATTTCTACAGCAAAAACTAACCGTATCAAACACTTTACTTTCAGCTGTTTCAAAATCATTCCCAACACAAAACACGGGTAACTTAAATGTCAAATCACAAGTCATAACAAAGCGGTTCGTTTGGAACGTTCAAAAATTAAGTCACTGAAAGGACCTATGACATCACTAGGCACTTTACGATTAAACAGTGGCGGCGTGTGGTTTAGTGTTTTGGGGCTGAACAAACTTAGATAATGATCGGCAGCAAAACAACAGCAGGCTCGACCGCCAATACGTACAGTAGCCTGCTGACTAAATAAATCCAAATCACGTTTCATAATGGTAGTTGAAAACATCGAACTTCTCGGGTGAGTAAAGAGCACGAGCAGAAGATATCACCGATCAAATATACTTTCTGGTTTTTACTGGTTCTACTGGTTTCTACCCCCTTTATACATATTATTATTATTATCTATCGTATATTGCTTTTTAAATTAATAGGAACTCAATGTCCTGAGGACATTCTACCAGGAATGACTATAATTATAGACATGATCAAGAATTATTTTATTCATGAACATTTTATCATATCAAGAATTTAATACGGTTTTTTTAGAAGAGGCACATACATACAAGTCCACTTATTGTGGATTGGGCGTCAAAATTTTTGGTTGTTGTTGCGTTTATTTTGAATCTAATATTTATTTACAGTTAATAGAATACAGTGACATCATATCAGTGATGATAAAAAATAAAATAAAATAAAATAAAAAAAAATAAAAATCTTCCTGAAAAATATCTGAAGACCGGTTAATTTTTAACTACAGGACATTTTCATAAGTTATAATGTGCAATTTTAATCCAAATATTTTTTTTATTATGAACCTTGAACTCAAAAAACCTCTATGGAAAATTCTCCAGGTAATATTCATGCTGACTTAAACTTGCAGATATTACATTTGTAATAAACATTATGATGGTATATTAACGCCGAAAACAGTGTATTGATTGAAATTCAAAATTCCTATTTTCCCCGCATAAAGTAGCGACGAAGATTCATTATTTTTCCCCACAATTTTTTGCATAATTTATATTGTAATTAATTAGATAGCCATTCTATTTCATGTGGATTTTGGGATAAATTTCGTTAAATAAATTACGTACAGAATTATGTCTAGAAGTTATGATTTCAAATTTGCGATTCTCGCAATGTTGAGTCTGGTCATGCCGTTAATAGAGTCAATCCGTGAACGCACTTCACATAATTAGAAAATGTCAAAACTTTAGAAGTTAGGTTATATGTGACTCCTGCTATTTGAGGTTAATTCGTTCTTCGAATGTGTTCTCTGCTTGCACTGCTTAGCTGAAATTACGAGGTAACTATGGCATGCTACTTAGTTTTATTCCTCATACTTTCAAATAGAATCTAGTCTCCTTCTTAGTATCAACAGTTAAATGATTTGTAGCATTTCCCGCTCCGTAAATTCAACAGTTGCTCTCACAACCTTTATCTCAGTTTTAGAGCAAAAGATGATTATCCCAATTCGTTGTTTCACTTGTGGGAAAGTAATTGGTAATAAATGGGAGGCCTATTTGGGGCTCTTGCAGGCCGAATATACAGAAGGTGACGCTCTGGACGCCCTCGGCCTTAAACGTTACTGTTGTCGCAGGATGCTGTTAGGACATGTGGATCTCATTGAGAAACTTCTTAATTATGCTCCATTAGAAAAGTAAATAGGCTTTCGTATACGTTTGTTCGAGTTTTTCAACTTTTGGTGATACTGTAATATAGTTTAGGATTAGGTTGCATCAAAATGCTTTCAGCCGTCTGTTGGCTTTTGCTAACTGCAACAATCAAGAGCAGGCAAAGAGTAGGTAAAGAGTAGGTAAAATATTGTCTACTTTTTGATACAGTATTGATGTATTTGCGACTTTTGTATTAAATTAAAATAAATTAATTCTTGATGAAAAACTGTCCCTTTCTGCGTCAAGTTCTTTTCCCTGCAACCCGTGTTCAACTTTCATTATCTATAACGGGTAAACTTCATTTACACTTGACTCTTTCGTAAAGCCCAGACTAACTGAGAAATTAATTTGCTCGAAAAAAGTGATGTTTGGGCTGATGAGTTTAGTGAGGAACATAATTGGGATTGGCATTCACTGTGTTCAAGTTAAGATGATCCAGTATGAGTATTTCAGAAAGTGGTGAAATGTGAAAAACCATTGAAGTAATAAAAAGGTTGGTAAAATTGTGGTTTAAAACATTTCATGTGAATCTTTGTGGCTGCCTTGTTTGGGAAAATAGGAATTTAGAGTTTCGCTTAATACAGTGCTTTCGGCGTTAATATACCAAAATAATGCTTATTACAAATGCAGATTCTGCAACTTTAACTCAGCATGAATCCTGGTGAGTTTTGCTTAGACGTTTTTCTCGTGCAGGAAACCATTATCTTAAATTTTCAAAACTTTCCTCCATAACAATAAGCTAATAATAATAAGAATCTTCTTTAGATTAAAAATACCATATAACAATGTCTTGTATTTGAAAATCTACCGTTCATCAGATAATTTTTGCAAAATCGTAATTTTTGGCCAAAAAAAATTCAAATATTAAAAACTAGTTATTTATTTGTAAATAAATAGATTGCATAAGTTTCTGATACGTTTTTCAAGAGTTTTAATTTAAATTTACAAAATAACATTATACGCATCTAGCAAATACAGGACGTCGCAGTAAAATAATGAAATAGATTTCCAAGCCGATGTCTAGAAGATTTTTTTATATTATTTTTAGGCCTTGACAGAATGCTCATGTTATTATTTAAACTATACTAATGCTAAAAGAAGTCCGGCAACTCGCGCTACACACTTATATGTGATATAATAAAAAATTTCGCTTTTACGAGCTTGCCGGAAAAAGCTTCAAGAGCTTAATTTTAATTTCTAAGATTTTAATATTCACTTCTATCGCGTTAGAGGTTGAAACCAAATTAGTCAAAAAAAGTTCTCGACAAGGGCTATCGAATGGTCATAACTGCTGAATTGATATTTTCAAGCGTTTCTCGGCTACGGACTTTTTTATACTTCGGAAAACCTTAAAATCTTTCCATTTTTGCTTCTCTCCTTGGAAGTTAGGAACTTCTGATGAAAGATAGTTTGGTAGAAGGATTATCGAAACGGTCGTTAAGACGGATTTGCTATTTTTTACGATCAGGCACATGAAAAGGGGCGAGGCTCAATACATTTTCGTTCGAGCAGATTGTCTCGGTGTTTTTTTTTTAAATTGCACATAACTTTCTTGTAATCGTAGACATTTGTACGCGGAATGATCTTTGGGTTAGCTTTGACTCTTGGATAAATTTTTATCAAGTGCCATAATTTCTTTAGGTATGCAGTTTTCTCGATGGATCGGCGAATGTGGGTCGGTCTGTTAGCGATCGATTCTTCTGGACAACCGCTACAATTTTTTTGGGGCTTGGACATTTGTTGCCTCTAATTTCAGCAAAACAGTTCGATTCTGTTTAGAATGGAATTGACGTTTTTATTTCTTCATGTACCCTTCTAAATTTTGCTTAAACTCGTCGAGTTTTATTAACGTTATTAAGGATCCGTCTGCGTTTTTTACTTGAGATGGGTTTTCCTTGAAGTCTTCCGAACATAGAAACAAAAGCCGATTCTTTGGTCAACTTAATCTCTAGCTTTTCATACCTACGTTTGGGAAGTCGTAGATGACCTAATAAACAATTATATTATTTTTAAAAATTTAAAAATGATATTTAATTAAACCAAGTTGCCCAACTTTTTTCCCATTTGATCAACTTCGATTTACTACTGATTTTCGATAAATCCATATGGATTTGTGCTTATTTTATAAGCACAAATTCTACCTCTTCAATTAGTAATCTAAAAATCATAATAAGGCTAGGACAAAATGAAACAACTGGAAGTACTTGAAGTGTAAGTAAAAATATTTTTATGTTAGGAGATATCGGAAACAATATTTTTAGAATTTTAGCAGCCCACGGGTGTTAAACTTAAATATATCACAATGCAGTTCAAGCATAACAAAATATAATTTCGTCAATTCAATACTACCGTTACTGCTATGCCTTATGTATATTAATTCGTCGAAATTTGACAAAAATGTAATGCTTTCAAATACCATTCTAGCATAAGATTGTTATTTCTTTACAACTTGAGTATTGAGTGAGATCAATATTTTTTTGGTATCAGTCACCGGATATATAAACTGTTGAGCTTTCCAGAACGTAATATACGCCTTAAAAATTCACAGCTCGATTAGAACTATATCCATTAGTTATCAGTCAGCTATCTTTTCAGTCAAGTAAAACATTTTTGTCAAATATGCTATTTTATTTTAAAAGTTTCAGCTTTACTACTTACAAAAATGTTACTTATGCAATCTAAAATTAATAAACTCAAATAATACAAAAAATTCCAGTAAATAGTTATTTTATAAACTACTTTCGTTTCGAGGACAGAATCGCGGTAAATTTTGTACCCAATGGTTAAACAATTTTCACAAACGTGTATAACTTTGCCCCTTTTTTAACTGGCAGCTGTGTGAGATTTTTTTAAAAATCATTTGAAATTAATTTCACATATGGGTGATGAAACAACATCGTTCCTATATGAAATTTATTAGATTTAGGCAGTTTGTGAACAGATTTACAATGAGAAAAATTTGAGAAAAGCGGAAGGTGGCACAGGGGCGGGTGGAGTAATTCCTCCGGCTTCCTGTAAACGCGCTTTAAAATCGGGACACTGTTCAGCAATGCAAGGATGTCCCAATGATTTCCAAAATAGACAGCGGCAATATTTGCAAAGCGATAACATTTCTGCATATTGACGCTCTTCATTCAAACCATATACCCTAAAATAGAACGTATAGATTATGCCAAAAATTTAACCGATATGGCCGTAGAGACATTGTACGTTCTAATTCAATATTGCAATTTTATTAAGTGGCGTTTTCATATGGAACAATTTCTTATTAGCTTTAAGTCAATTCGAAAATCGATTTTCGCTGATATCTCCAAGAACGTTATCCAAAAATAGTATTAATTAAAAACAGTTGTAGTAGTTGCATTAAAGATAAATATACAGTTTCTAACCAACGTGCGGACCTCCAATTTCTCCTCAATAATCCCAGTTCTGCCTTTACTGAGCTGTATAAGTACTTACTTTTTCAATGAATTAAAAATTATCTTCCAGTCCAATGTCTCAGTATCCTTTGGTAGGACTAGTTCAATTTGTTGAGTAGTGAAATGGAACTTAGTTAATTCTCGCCACACTCTTTGCTCATTAACTATCGAGCAAATTTCGTCGCAGGATTGAGCACTTGCAGTCAAATCTCGATGGTCGGACAGTCTTAGGATAATCTCCCTGATGCATTCTTCCGGCAGGTTAAGCAGCTTTGGATGCAAATCGGGATGTGGTTCTTTGATTTGAAACTCTGAGGCCATGTTGAGAATTCGGTCAATTTTTGCTGTGTGTTGGTGCCAAAGCAATTGCGACCCCAACGGACCTACGCAAGAATTTAAATTAATTTTACTTCATTTAAAACAACACAAACAGCAGAAAAATTATGGTTGCTTATGTGGCTTGATTGAGTTAATAAATCTATATGAAAACAAATTTATTTCTAGAAAGTATTAAAAGTGAAAGCGAGCAAAATAAAAGTGGTTCCTGGTAAACTAAAACTTTAAAGTAACTTTTGTGCAAGGTCACTTCAGACAGCATACAAAACTCCTAACATTTAAAAGTCGTTAACGTGTTTGGATTGCATAGGTGCGAGTAGATCACACATGTATTTTTGTACGGTCTTTTATAGAGACTGACCTCCCCAACATGAAGATCTTTCGGCGGTGCTGAGAGCTCTTAATTTATTTAACAGTCTTCGAAAGCCTCTGGGGTTGTGTTGGCTAGTTGTTGCATATCGAGCGACTTCTTCTAACATGGCTAGTAGAGCTTTTTGCGTACAACCGGACATGCCGGTCATTTGTTGCCCAATTAGATGGTCCAAAAGTGCACAAATGTAATTGAAGCGTCTAACATCTCGCACTGCGCTACGGAAGTCCAAGCGTTTTACTGCTTCGTCTAACTCATTGAACCCTGCAATCTGAAATTACTATTTATTAATAAGGAAACCGATCTGATCGAAGCGACTTCAACAATTACAAAAAAGCCTCGTTTGTACTCGTATAACATTCAGTTCTTTGCCCACCTCTAAAATATGGCTTCCTATTACTTCTATTATTTTGAAAATAATTAACTTTACCTCCTTAGTACTTTTTACTGTGATATGACAGTGAGGTTGGTGGCTTGTTGATTGCTGAACACTATCTATGTTCTCCTTTTCTTCTTCCTTGCTTTCTTGATATCTGGAACAATAGATAACAATTTGCCCAGATTTGGAAATCGATACGATGTGACATGAAAAGTTGGTATCTTTCTCTGCAAATAAGTCAATATTGCAGATTGACTGGAAAGTTTGGAGGAATTTGCTCTAAATTATAATCTATATCTGATCTGAAAAATCTACCAACTGAACAGAGAACGATTATGTGGAAATTTTTCTCCCATAATTATTTCTTAGTTTAACTAGTTTTTGTATCATTTGGGCAGACAATTTTGGGGACAATGAAGTCGAGTTTCCTTCTTTTACGATCGTTCGGGGAATTTTTCAGCATTGCAGGCATGAATACATGAAGCGTCTGGACAGTCGAATTTTCCGGCTATTCACAAATATATAAATGTATTTTCTGGGGTGGAAACCATGGAACATTTACACTCATATTTACACTCAATAGGTAGCTATTTATTTACCATTTTCGTGATTAACAACAAATCAAATAGAGGGCAAAGTAAAGTTCGTTTGAGTAACAAAGTAAACACAAACATTCATAAGCTAAACGCAGACTGACCAAAATGTCCTGGTTGTTTTAGTGCTATTTCAATATGCCAGTTCAAATTTAGATAGCAAAAGTTCTTCTATTTAGTAGTGCGAGCAAAGTAACTTGCTTTGTACAACGGTTAATTATAAAAATATGCAAAGATCTATTGAAACTGTAATGGTAATTCGTGATTTATTCCAGTAATACAAATATGTAACGAAAATATTAATTAAGTAGTGTGAAACTATTTAAGTTACTCGGTTACCGGTGTAAACCTGGATTAATGTAGGGATTTAGTGTATAATGAATTTTATGAACACCAAATTATTTATAGTCTTGAAAAAATTAAACATCTACAATTTATATGGTGGAAATAATTGACCATTATTTATAATACACTATTGCGACGACAACTTCATCGCACTTTGAAAAGTTGAAAGATTACCCGAACAAGAATGATGAGTAGAAAAAGTATTAACATTCATACAAATTTTGCCTATTTAAACTTATCTTACTAATTTAATAATAATAATAGTAATAATAGTGTGGAGTCACCAAAATCAACGTTTTGAACGATCAATGTTTCATCAACTGCCATTTAAAAGCAAATAATACCATATATTAAGCACAATGAGTACTTACGTATAAAGAATGTATGTCTTAATATACGCAGATTTTTATATGTATGCTTTAACTCTGCAAAATAAAATGAGACTCACTTTTGTACATGCTTTATTAACATACATTTAACCGAGACAAACCCTAAAAAAGTTGGTCAAAAATTATGGATATGCTCTAAAAGGGTGAAAATATCGTCGGTATTTTCTGCCTACCAAGCACATCTATAATAATGTTTAATTTACTTGGAAATGAAGAAAATTACATCGCAAGTTTCGTGATTATATTAACTTATCGATATTATCATTAATAAAATATGATCAAATGTTGAATACATGAGTTGCGGTAATCTCGAACATTTTACAATTTTTAACGGAAACGTTTAAAAAATTTAACTTATTTTTATTTAAATTTCTTTAAAGGCTTTAAAGTTTCTAACGGTTACCGAATAAATAAAATTCCACTGATCCAAGATTTATTGCGAAAAAATACTTTCTTAATACATTTTGAAAATTAACCATTCGGCATAAGTGCTTCTTTTTAGGTTCTTCATTCCTTTGCATTAAAGTATGCAAATACAAGTACATCCTTTTATGCTCATTTACTTGTATTTACGTTCTTCCGGACAGTTCGGCCAAAGTTTCGCCTTCGATATAATACAAATTTTCTTCTAATATTACCAATGCCACTTTAAAATAAAAAACTCGTTCAATTTATTAAAAACTAATTTTACAAAACCAGTTTGTAAATTACAAAATTACAACCTGCAATATAAAGAAATTGTTCGAGAGAACATTCATTTTGTTGGGTGAACAAGCAAAGAAATTATCATTATTTAAGGATATTTCAGATATATAAATCATATTTGCCTTCAGGTTAGAATTCTGCCTTACTTAATGCCTCCCTTCTATAAAGTTCGCTTTACACAAGTGTGTCTAATAAATTGACGATTTAATTAAACAATTCTGGTTCGAAATGAAATTGTTCAAAAAATCTAAAAATCATCTTTTACTTATCATACATATATCATTATTTATACATTTATGTATAAATAAACATTTATGTGTTATTTAAAGACATTTCGGGATAAATGAATACATAATACTAATTGTAGTGAAAAAAAAACAATATTGCAATTCGTACCAATTTTACGAAAATGTAGTTAAATTCTTATTATCCCTGATAATATTGCAGTTATTGCATTTTTGTCAGAAATATGTTGGAGATTTTTTTTAAATTCAGCATGGTGCCAATATAACACATACAAGTAATGCACACATGTATTTTAAGTACAGAAAGTTTTACAAATACATTTTTTTGCATTATATACACTCAGGCAATGGCATCGAACAAACTTCCGATATAAACACTATAAAAGCTATGCAATACCCGATTAACAGAATAATTAGTATGCCTTTAATATTATCCAGATCAAATGCCTGATACACTTCAGCACTACCACTAGCCTGTTGCTTTAATTTCTCAATCCTACGCTGATATACAAATGCATCAGAAAAATCTTCCAGCCATTTCGATTTTAAACCAGCTTCGTTAATTAGAACCAGGAAGTGATTGATGATTTTCAGATACGGAGAACCAACAGGCACAATATATGATAAAAAATATGAGTTTGGACAATCGCGAACAATGTGTAGTAAAGGTTTGCTGTCCTTATCGGAAAAGTGTGTTTGAATTAATAGTTTACTATCAAGGTATCTTTCGATGCCTCCTACGTTTGACGCAGCTGCAATTTCTATGGAGCTCAAATGGTTTTCTTTTTGATACTTGCTTCTTACTTTCTTCGCTATCGATTGATACAGAGCCGATTCCCCATCTTTAAACGGGTTAATTGATGATCTAATGGTCATGCCAATCTTATCAAACTCTTCTAGGGTGTTTATATCCGGCAAATATGTTTCAGTAGTGTAGACAGAAAGCAAAGCTGCAGAAAATGCAGTTGATATAACGATGGAGTAAAGTAGAAAACTGGCTATAAATATGCGTCGCGAAAGTCGATTTTGAGTTCCTACAATTTCTGCTACTGACTGACCTAAGAACGAACTGTACAGTTCTAAAACAGCTTCGCTTAGCAGGCAAGCTTCATGTCGGAAGAATTTATTAGCTATCCCGCATATTGCAACAATTCCTACACTAACTAACACAAATCTGCCAGTGAGAATCTTCAATGTTGCCAGCCAATTGGATAGTTTTTTGGCCTTTGGAACAATAACACACAGCTGGTCAAAATGGTAGATATAAGTGAATTCATACCCCTCGACCCCATAAGGCATCATGAATCTGGAGTTTCCTTGCAAATCGATCGTCCGTTCGACGATATCCTTAAAACTCCCTGTAAGTGTACCATCTGCTTGCAGTCTTCCATACGAAGCAGATCCATCATGCAGGTGAATAGTGAAATTCATATACGCTGATAAAGTGGCCATTGCTTCACCATCACACCCATAAAACTTTGATGTATATGGAATTGTCTTGTATATTTTACATTCACGAATAAACTTTGGAACGAAACGTGTTGCAGTAGGATGTCTTTCGAATAAGGAAACCTTTAAAGGGTATCCTTTCATGTCAGTTACGTCGTTAAGCAAAAGTTGGGGATACTTAGCAACTTGCTCATAATGGTAGATGTGAACTTGACCATATTCTGATTTGGTTTTCATAAAAGGTCGGTAAGTCGAAACGTATTCTCGATAGTCCGCGGAACAGGGAAACTGCACTACAATATTCAGGATGGAAAAACGTTCCCATAAAAATACTAGTAACTGGTGTACCATTGGCATATCAACATCCCTAGTAGAGAACAGCAAAACATTGAGAGATCGGGCAGTTTTTGTAAATGTGGAAACATCCATATCGGCGAAGTATTTAAAGAACATTTCCGGATCCACTCCGATAAAAATTCGGACCAAGTACGAGTCTATGTAGGCCATTCTTTTGTACATACTGCTGACGTCTTTTTGTATTATTTTGATATTCCTCACTGCATCATATACAATGCCATATTTGGAAAATGACGCTCCACTAATTTCATTGCGGTCATATGTAACAATCTGATTTTCCAGCAATGTTGCCTTCTTCAAAGAAACTTGATTCATTTCGAAAAACTCTCCAACCAAATCCACAGTATTATAATCAGAACTGTTATCACACACCATTTGGGTAATTTTCACATCTCGGGATAGATTGAAATGTATCATATACATTTTATAGTTGTGAAAATACGAGCATTCCTGTTGATCTCTGGTAATTAATCTATTGAAGATTACAGATGGAAATACCAAGAAAAATACAAAATCTGTTGCTTGAATCATGGTTGTTACTTTTGTGTACACTCCAAAATATTTAGCCCTCTGGGGCATGCAATTGCTTTGGAAATATGTCATTAGAAAGCCATATTTATATCATTTAGACATAGTTAATGATAGGCGGCGATATTTCGGAAAATGTGGGCAGTGATTTAATAGTCCGTTTGAATGTTTTTAGAAATAATTTTCGTTTGAAAAGATAAATGCGTGTCAAGGGCGATTATGGAGATTTCGAGGGAAACAATAAAAGGGACTGTAATTATGAAAATTGCCAAAGAACGAATCGAATCAAGAACTTCGAATTGCTCAGTGGGTGGTTGATTTTTAAATAATTGCACATTTTCGTAATGGTAGCTGAGGACAATAAAATATTTATACATGGTTATTATAAATTGGAATAAATAGTTTAGGCAGTACAGAAAAAAATTGTAACACACAATCTTTATTCTCACTTAGATGCATATAGAAAGTTAATTGTGTTAACTGTGCATTCGACAATAGTGTTGCTCTGTACAGGGTGTCCCAACGAGAAGTATACGTACGATAAGATTACGTAATCGTCGTATTTGTTTCAACATTTTCTCATTAATGGTACAGATTGCTTTTTTCTTCAAACTACACCCAGTATTTTCGTTTATTTTTGAACTCTTATCTAAATTTATTTATTACGTTTTGCTATATAAAATGTGAATGAAAATTGAATAGTTTTTTAGCTATTGGACTTTAACGTCAAAATTTGCATTTACATGATGTTGATTAATCGAAAAGTTCTCCTTAGGCGTTAGACACACAATTTTGAAATTTCACAGAAGGAAAGACTAATACTATATTATTATTTGGTTTGCAAAATATTTGTTTTTGGCACTACAAAGCGCTCATAAAAACAGTCCACACTAACGTATTTTCAAGCTTAAAAATCTCACTTTTTTAATTAAACGGCACACTCCGTATATTGTTAGTGTTTTGTTAGGATGTCAAATTCGTTTATTTTGGATAAATACCCCCTATATGTAATAATCAATGAGAAAATTCGAATTTGGAATGGCACCGCGACAGGTTTGCGAAACAATTGACTAGATAATTAAAAATTATATTAATACTTAATATTATAGTAATTTAACAATACTTAACGGAAATTAATGCTTAAAATACGCAACAACTAATAATCAGTTATTTGTTAAACCTACCGCGATGCAATTCCAAAAATCACATTTTTTTGTTGATTATTACTTATAGGTGTAGGGAGTATTTATCCAAAATAAATAAGTTTCTTACCCTGAAAACTAACAAAATCGCGGGTGTGTTATTTCAAACGCTTCGAATTTTGAGTTCAAAAATATGTGAGATGGAATGAATATTATTACTGCCCTGCTGTTTTAAACACAAATATTTTGCCATCCGAATATGAATATAGTCTATTCTCTTGCAAAAATTTCGAAATTTTGTGTCTAAAGTCTGCGAAGAAATTTTCGATTTATCGACACCATGTAAATGTCGATAGTTAAAGTCGAATAACGAAAAAATTAAAAAGATAACGACGCAGTCTGTTAATCTTTTTAAAATATGCGTGTTTAGAAATGATAACATTTCTGAAAAAAAAAACTAGACGATAACATTTTTGAAACAATTCATACTGGTTAAGCGTAAAATGACTTTACTCTATGGGACACCTTCCACTTGAACTGCAAATGCAACTTGTCAAATTGTAAACCTTTCAGTACATTTCGGGCGAGAAACACCAAAAACAGTTCACATCGGAATAGGTACCGTTTTTGAAATGATAAACACAAAGTCTCTTAATGTTAAAAAAAATGTACAATTTTTCACGATCCCCACACGCCAAGAGGCTAAAATCCTTCCTCAATTCTTTGCCTTAGAACATCAATCAATTAACAACAAAAATCAATTAGTAGCTTCAACTAGTTGCTTTAATTAATCCGATGAAATAAATTCGTGGGATTCAAATCAGGAGACTGTGGTGTCCAGAGCACGACATATCCAACTTTTATAAATTCGATTCTTATTGCTGTTAACATTTATGCTAAAATGCAAGGAGTATTGTTATGGATCAGTAATAGCTATTGATTCGATAGGCAACTGTAATAATTTTTGCTCTAATAGAAGTTGTGGCAAACATTCAGACTAATTTTTGCATTTAATAATTGTCATAATTTCATTAAATGATCTCCCGTATTCCATCCCACACGCTTAAGCTAATCGGACAATGCCAACAAAAACTCTGTAAAATGCATTTTAATTTACGTACGCTTAAACGTGCATACAGGGTGATTCAAAATTGGCGTCATTCCTCTGGAGGTGTTGTCTGGCGCTGATATAGGAGTACAGAAAAAATTGTAAAATAAATTAATTGTTATTAAAAACTGAGAAATTTCCAAAAAAGCATATCAGAAATACGGCAGCAATGTTTTTCAAAGTAATCTGCCTAATTAACATTGCGCAAATACCTGTTGCTTCGTAATTATTAAAAACTCCGGTAACCATGGAATTATACAGAGTGACAATAAGATAGACAAGGATAAACGGTAAATTCAACAAGATTCGTTGACTGCGCAACGTACTTTCGAAATGTCAACCTGTTCTCATAAACAATTTGGACATTAAACAACAAACATTAAACATGGAACAATTTCTAAATAATGCTTAATAACAAAGTTGAAATTTGATCTTCAACTGTTAATATCTTCTAGAAATTTTCGAAAAAAAAAATTCAATATTTTTCTCGTACTTCCCAAGTGAGCCTCTATCACCCTTTAAAAGGAATGACGCCAATTTTGAATCACCCTGTGTTATGGAAATTTAAAATTGTAATATTTCTAGTAATTCCGATATTGTTGACACATGTATTAGTTATAAAATAATTTGAATATAAACAATGCTCCCGGGTCATTTATTTAGGTACCACAATATCATTTTTCCTAAAAACCTTTCGGTGTTTTTCCACCATCATCAGTTTGTCTAAAACCACCACTTCAAGTTAAAGTATTTTGTCCATACACATACCTGAAACATAAGAACACTTTAAAATTGTGGGATTTTTTGGGGGACGATTATAATATTTATTAGTACAGCCTGCCATTACTAATTACTAAAACACTTTAAAATTACAACTAAATGAATGGATGGCAATGAATCAGGACTCATACATTGGTATATTAATGCTTCTCCATTTCAGAACAAAAAAAAACTAAAAAACTGTTTATATTTAATTGTTTTCTTTCACATATTCTTCCTTTGCATTCAGCAGAAACTACTTTTTAAAATTAATGTTATGTTTTTTGATTTGTATTATTTCACGGATTCTTCCCTAATGATAGTTATTTTCATTAGTATTTATCGTCAGTATTTTTGTGTTGTCGATATCACAATTATGTAACAATTGGTGTCATGTTGTGCTAATGCTTTAATTTTTTTTATTTTCGTTATTTTTCCTTATGCTATATTTATGTTCGTATATTCTTTTCTATATCTGTTTTCTTTTCTTTTCCTGAATTTTATTGTCCTGATTGATTGCCATTAGTCTTAATAATTTTAGAACATTCTAGTTGTTTTGTAATTTTAAAATGTTTTAGTAATTATTAATGACTGAATATAACCGTTTTTTTAAAAGCCTACAATTTTTAAGTTTTTTTATATTTTATGTATGTGTATGAACAAAATATTTTAACAACTGGTGGGTTTTAAACCAACTGATGATGGTGAAAAAGTACCGAAACGTTTATATGAAAAAATAGTAAAAGTTTAAATAAAAAATTATCAGCTAAGACGCTTTTCTCAAATGTTTACTTAGTATGGTATATAATGGTTTTAACCATTCAATCTGATAGTTATACTATAGCTGATCATTTACCGAATGTGTTGGAAAACATATTTCAAGTAATGTTTCAAAACGGTCAGAAATTTTTTTGGATTTTTAGATTTTAAATCATTTCTACATTATTCGCGAATATCAATTTTTTTAAATTACCCTCACTACTCGTTTCTGCGATCCAATAGCACCTTGAATCCATAATAGATTTAAGACAATTGATAAGAATTTGCGTTCTTTTATTTATTGACAGCAGAAAGCATCTATTACAAATTATAAATCTTTACGGACGTACATTTAAATTGAAGAGTTTTGCAAGCTTTCTTCAAAAACTACGCGTTTGATATCTTGTGAATGGAAAGCTCCAGCAGAAAGGCGAGAAGAGCGAAACCGAAACCCCAAATTAATATCCAACTCATGGCTTGGACATCATTTAGACTCAATGCTTTCCTTGATCGTTGTTTTTCATGGATATTCCAGTGAGCGTTTAGCCGGATGGCCTCCAGTACATCCACATACCATTTAAGCGTCAACCCTGATTCCAGAAAAATACTTAAGATATGATTAATGGCAGGAAGGTGGGGTGAACCCTTTGGTACAATGTAGGCCAAGTTAAACTCCGTGGGGCAGTCGGGGACCATATGCAATAGAGGTGTTCCATCATGTGTTACATACTGATAAATAATTCGAAATTGAGTGTCTTCCGATCTCTCTAAACTGGCTCCATGGCCACTTAGTACAAATTCTATAGTATTCTTAGATTTTAGTTCCATTTTTAGCTTCTGCGATAGTCGTTTGTAAAGAGGCAAGCTGCTTCCCTTAAACGGATCAACTGATGTTTTTATATCCATTCCAGATGCATCCACTTCTTCTAGCGTGTTTATATCCGAGTAATATGCTTTTACTCCAAACACGGCGAATAGACCGCCTATAAATATATTGGAGACAATCATAAAAAATATTATAGAGCTCCCCATAAAACACCTTCTAGCAACGTGTTTATTGCAAACATCCATATCCACCGGCTGCTGAAGCATTAAAATATATATTTCTAGCACTGAGTCAGCTAGTGACATTGTGGTTTCAGTCAGTTTACTCGTTATTGCTGCCGCTATAAATGCCAAAAGAAAGACGATCTTTGTGTCCAATTTAAATATTCGCAATACTTTTATCCAGGTCGGGATTAACTTTGCTTTAGGCACCAGCACACATATTTTATCGTGCATATAAGACGTGGTAAATTCAATATCATCAGTACCATAGTCCATGAGAAATCGACTATTTGCTTGAAAATCAACCTTCCTTTCCACCACTTTTCCTAAACTGCCTATTACGGTTTTATTGTCTAAAACTAATCCGAAATATTGACACTCGATTTCATTGCATAACTTCATACTGAAATTCATGGTCTGTGCCAAATATTCGATGGTAAGACCATCCACTCCGTGTATGCGGGTAAAGTGTCTGTAGATTTTCGAATTGACTAAAAAATTTGGAACTGTCCTAAAAGCTGTTGAAATTCTTTCAAAAAACGACACAATCAAGGGGTAGCCTTGTAAATCTGGAATTTTTGTATTTATGCGGCCGGGTGTATTAATTCTGAGGCCTTTCAGGTGTTGTATTTGTATCTGTCCATGTCCAAACGCTGTGGCCGTAAACGGTTTGTAGGTAATATAAAAATTCCTATATTTAACTGAAGACGGAAGTAAGACGATTACGTTTAATACGCCACAGTTTGTCCAGAGCCATGCTAAGATAGCTTTAATAGATTTTATATCCGAATTGCTATTTGGAAATATCAGAATCTTCAAACCGCGTACTGTTTCAAACGGTGTCTGGCTTTTATGAGATTTTATGAAGTCATATACTATTGAAGCATCTTTAGCAATTATGACTTGGATGCTGCTGCTATCGCAGTTATAAAAGTCAGGCTTTAACTCCATCAACTCTCTAGTCTCCACCATGTGTAGTTTGTTGAATTCTTCGATTTTTGATGCCGAGCTAGTCAGTTCCATCGGTTTTAATTGGACCAAGTAATTTTTGCACAATATATTCGATTTATTTCTATAGAAGGAATTTACGATTTCTCCCGTTTGCAGGTCGGTTTTTCCTCGATATTCCAATCTAATTATACTAACTTCACCGGCTCTTGAACTACAATATCTGTAAAAGTTTCTGAAAGGTTTGGGCAAAAAATCTTCTTGAACATTGGGGACTCTCATTTTCGACTGTCCAAGAAAGCACAGATTAAATAACAGAAACAGTTTACTAGCGCTTCTGGACATTATTACTTACTTATTGCGACTACGTACTCTTTAGGAGATTGCTTGCTTAAAGCTATTAATAAGGCTTTCGTGAAACTAAATCCGAACTTCGTAAGTTTTGTTCTGTACACTTACTTAATATTTTGGTTGGAGCAAGTTCAATATTTGAATCTAATGGTTATTTGGAGTAGCCCATATCGTGCATGTTGATCTATAGCAGTTAAAGCTTAATGACGAAGCTTTTTAACATTTGACTCGGTTTCATAGCATTTTATTTTTTTCGCCTGTAAACTATGTTATTAGCTACAACTAGTTTTCAGGCAATTAGGTTTTTAATAAGGCGGTAATGTTTCCAACGCCACTGAAAACCTGCTTTGAACTGACCAATAAATCTAAAAATATATAAGAATATCTAGAAATTAGATCACTAACGCTCTACACTGTGTCCTATACATATTATGTACACGGGGTGCACTATGAGTTACATTTTAAGTTCTTTATCGACTAAAATTATACGTTTTTGTACTTATGATTCCGATATTCTGACAAATTCGAAGGAATTACATTTAATTTAGCCCTTGGTTACATGACTAGGAAAAAAATAAAATTTTTAATATCTAAGCATTTACGAACCAAGCATATGATAAAAAATATATAAATATATAAAACTGTATCGTATACAAGCGTATATAAAAAAAACAATTTATACGGAGGTTCAGTTGCAAACTTGAATCAGAGAAAAGTTCATTTTCCTTGAAAAATAGTTGTATTTAGATCTTCCAATTGGCTTGCCGTTTCTTTTCATTTTATTTGGGAAAGATTTGGGTAATTCAAACGTTTTCGTCGATTGATAAGAGTGTAATGTAAGTAGTAAATGTTTTCACCGGGAATATTTCTTGCGCGAAAGACAGTTTGATCTTTCTTATCATTAAAATGAATGCAACTAGGTGATTTCTGTGCATATTGCTCCGAAACGGACACAAAAATTCAAATATGCGATTCATCAGAAATTTTGAAATAAATGTGTTTAAATAACAATTTACGTATTACAAAATGATATAAACAAAGGAGCATTATTGTTTATCCAAAAATTGATTTGCCAAACACAAAAAGTCGTTGGATGAGACAGAAACTATTTGTGACGGACATGTTTCAATATTAAATAGCTCATACATTAGATTTGCATAACAGATTCAGTTTTTCACTAGGAAAAAACTGAGTTTTGCATGTTAAAAATAGTTGATAAACATTTCAAAGTCTACTGCTAATCCCAATAATTTAATGACAAACTTACAGAGAAAAAAAACTTTGAGAAAATACATTTCTTCTATTTTATCAGACTCAGTTACATATTAGCGCAAACGAAACCGTACCCATTAAAGCTCGCATATTGGAAATCTATTTGACAGAATTCAGGTATACTTTTCGATTGGAACAACCAAAACTCAATGCTGGTACACACGATTTTGCTAAATTTGAAAATACGTTTCTACAGCTAATTATGAGACGTTATTAAATTATGTTAGATCTTAAATATCACTGAAATACAGGGTGATTCCAAATTGACATTATTTTTCTAGATGAACTGTGTGGGGCTATTAAGGGATTAGAAAAAGTTAGTTATTAATGTAATAAGGTAAATTATGTAGATGCATTTCATCATGCGTAAATCAGTAAAGGCATCAGGTTCTACAACGCGAATAAATAGCAAAAACGAGGTCAATAAGGAAACTATAAAAATATCACTGTAATAACTTAAGAAGAATTTAATGATTAAAAATGTATATTTTTAATTGACTTTGCAAAGCGATTTCAATGCCTGTATTTCATCACACACACCCGTTAGATGAATTTATCACAGAGCTTCTGAACTTCACTTTGTAACCGCACTTTACAACATCAGTTTTTAGTGTTTACAGTACCTAATGTGTGAATTTGCACAGTTCGATGTTAAAACAGAAAAAAGGAAATTTTGATCAAAACCTATAAATGATTTTCCATGGCCGTCTTTATGATCCGTTCAAGCTCAGAACGCTCATAGCAACGTTTGTAATGCGCTGTTTTTAGTATGACCTTAGTAATTAGTAGTTCAGTTGTGGTCACTTTCACTTTCTTCAATCTGTTTTGCTGTCCCAGAAGTAATAAACCACATCGTCTATGGTCATGGTCTATTATACAGCAGCATTGAGCGATTCAGATTTTTTTCAAGAAATGTAAACTTGATGCAATTCCGACATTGTTATACATTTTAGCTTTTGAGGAGCACAATTTAAAAAATAACCATAGATACCCTGTAACGTTGACAGATTTGTTGACAAATATTTGCCGCTGTAGAAAATTTTCGTAAATTTTAGTAAGTGTTGCAATGTTTTATTTCTCATGTTAAATGAGTGTATTAGTCTGCGAAATGTTGATTGTAACAACACGTAAAAGACAGTGTATTAGCAAGGTTGCAACTGCAATCTATTCAATTGAAATTTGGGTTAAAAAAATGTATTCTGTACTTTCCAGTAAGTCTCAGCAATTATTTAAAGGACGTTAAACCGACTTTGAGCCACTCTGAATATAAAGCGGTTTCAAAAGTTCGCGCCGGTTGCATTTTTAGAAATCTACCAATCCATGTTTTTTGATAAAATATTTTTGTGTTAGACAATTATTAAGTTTCAATACCAGATTCGCTAGTCATTAAGTATAACATATCTACTTGGTATAATTTCTGAATTCAAGTACATATCCCCGATATCATTGTTCCAATATTAATATAATATATTATAATAAGTGCAGGTAGGATTGCCGATAATTTGATTACACGGATAATTGTGCCTAATTTAAAATTGCTTGATAAAGTGACCCAATTGAAATTATTCCCCAAAATTTTGGCAACACTGAAATAATGCCCTAGATAGAAACTAGGCCAGATAACTGGAAGCGGAACAAGTAGGTGAAGTAGAAAAATTGTTCCTTGAAAACATTGTTTAATGGCAGAATTTTCAAGTGAATTCTAAAAATGTTTCAGATGAAACGTTTGCCAGACTATTTGAACTTAATGTCTTTGTTCTGAAAATAGCTCTCAACGCTTTTTATTAATTGCGCATCCGAACGAAATTGAATTGCAGTCTAATTATTTTCTATAAATACACTTTTATTTAGATGCGTACAAGTCAGTAACTTACTTTCCGCTCTAATAAAGAAATCATACCGTTAACTAGTTGGTTTTTAATTTAATTGAATGAAAGCTGAGCGCCAATTAACAATTACCAATCATTTAATTGAACATGCACTAATGCCGATAGTCTATTGTAATTTCAATCTAAAAAGATCTGGTTAAACACCTCGAATAGCAACGTGAAAGTAAAACGAAAGAACAAAGGAACAAGTCTTTCGCTCCACGTATGTAAATGCCGATCGATGGCGTGAAGCGGATAAATAAAATAAAATCTGCACTTACCTGATCTGTTTGCAGTGTTCGAGCACCTTTTTCTTCTCCCATCCTTCCTCAGTTTTAACCCAGGCCTCTCCTGGACTTCTCCAGTCTTTCGAGATGAACGGCATGCTTTCCTTGTATTCAAAATATTGCGTCGCTGCCTACAAAACAGAAAACAGCTGATATTCGATATAAACATCAACTTTCTCGTCGAATGAAAATGATTTTGTCTAACCTGCTAGCAGGAATGCGCCTGCTTGAAATCTCTCATTCTATCCTGCGGTTTGATCAGAGCGCATGACTCCTGATGAATTTTAAGGTCTAGATTAGATTCGGGCTAGGTTAATACGCATGGATTGGTTACAATTCCTTTAAAAATTATTTAGCTTTTTGCTCAGGAACCTGCCAATACAGTGAGCCCAAAAGTGCTTAAAAGTAGGTTTGCAATAGGACGAGTCCAGAATAGATTCTAGAAAAAAATATTTCCACGTCTTTTGTTATTAATTGAATCATTGATCAGATGCACACCTAACACACTGCTTGATCAAACACCGCAAAAATCGTCATAAACTTATAATATAAAAATATAAGCAGATATGATAGTTTACCTTCGTCTAGTGCAAAAGTTAAGGTTGCTTATGTATATTTCTAGAACAGAACAGAGAACTTATTCTAAACCTGTACAGGATCATTGTTGGGTAATTTTCTGTATTATTTCTTTGATAGATGGAACAATTCTTTTCACTATTTAATTATTAGATTCACTTTTGTTTGTATTCGCGTATTTCTCACGTATCACACTATAAATTAGCAAAGTCCAGACCCAACATTGTCATAAATCATATCAATATTTTCAAAATCAAAATCGTTGAATTTTTTTCTCAATTCAATATCCCCAGCGTTTTGAGTTTCCACTCCATTGCAAATCTTCAAATGTTTCTTTAACCGTTCCTTAGCACGCTCTCCATTTTATAGAATCCTTTCATAGAATTTGTGCGCCATTTTATAGAATTTGCGATACTTTCTTTAGTAGTAGTTACTACTAACCTTCTGCCAGCTTGATGAAGGATTTTTATGGACTCCAATAGGGACATGAAACGTTTCCCTTTGATAGAATTCCTAATTGCTTCAACAATTTCATTAGCCTTTTTTTGTCTGTATTGGGATTTTATCAGCGGAATTCTCGCAGTTAAATTACTAAGTTATATAAAAAGCCCAAGTCACAACAGCGTTAATATTTTTTGTTGCCCCTACACTTCTTCCGAGGATCAGCGTTACATATCTAACGTCGAACGTTGGAGACCCGTTTACCAGCCTTTTCTTGAAGGAAGTGGATATTTTAATCTAAGCCACTGGCTCTTATTTACCTTTTCATGTTCTGCTTCGTGTTCTTCAACCTTTTGCAGTTCAGTATAGTATAGTCCAATAGATTTTGGAGCGTCGAGCGATACTTCAAATTTGTCTTTTTTCGCTTAAAAAATACCGCAAATTTATAAGAGTTGCATTTTTGAATTGAAAATGATACACATTTTCTATTAGCAGTCACTCGAAAACGCTTTTCAGTAAGAGCTGAGTGAAAACCTACAAAATTATAGTATTTAATTTATTGTCGTCTCTCACAAATTTCAATCAGTGGATCAACGTTCGATCGAATCACTTCAGATGAATTAAAATTGAAATACATTTTTTATCTTTTGCTGTTTGTATGTTAGGCTACTTTGTCCACGAGTTTTGTGATCCGATTCCGACTTGAAACAAACACACAGCTTGGGTTGAGCGAGATAGAAGTTCAGATATTAAAATCAGAATCAGGCCTCAAACGAGGGAAGTTCAAAACTCATTTGTGGAAAATCCTTCGCACTACTGATACGTAGCTCGACTGAATAAACTGATAGTTGCATGAAACATATATAATATATTAAGTCCAAAAATGTTGGAGATCTGTCAAGGGTCTTAACTCTTAAAAAACTATAAAAAAAAGGATTTGAACAATATTTTTTGCAAAATAAAGTGAAATCGAAATACAATTTTGCTCCCTTCCAGGTGCGTAACGGGCCAAAATATCGATTCTGTCCTATTAGTCTTTTCGATAGCTTTCACCGTGTAGGTTTCATTAGTCAATATGGTTATTATTTAATATGAAATAATCATTTAGACTGTCCTGAATAAACGGTTACATTAGGAAAGTAAAAACATTTACAAAACAACCTATTTAAATGAATGTTTAATATAATAAAAGGACATCGTATAGTAGAAAATTACAAAAAAATAATTCTTTTGGGTATGAGAATGTTGAGACCTTCTATTCATGACTTCCTTCTCCGTTTACCATATATTCTAGAATATGCTGGTGTTTTATGTGTCAATGGTTATGTTTTCAATGTACTTAAAGTCCAAAATTCCGTATTTGCGATTGGTTGACCAAGTAATTAAAAAAATATGTATTTGTCTTCAAAACCAGACGAAGTCTCCGAAGGCCACACAAATAGAGACACTGAAATAGGTTTTTTGTGACAGATTTTTCAAAAGGATTCTCACAATTTTAATCTCGGTTTAAAAGTCTATCTACCAAAAAATTATATTTTACACCTGACCAGTTTTAGCTGCCCACGATATGATTTATTGAACACAAAACTTTCATTGGAAACTTACAAGCAAGTAAAATTACTTCAAGAACGAATATATCTATTGTATTCACATCTGATTATATTCGTATACGTATCAAATATAAATTAAAACAATCAAAATTAGTTCCGCTGTTTTCGTTATATTCAGCAAGTTTTCCCCGAAGTCCACTTTTTTATAGAATATGTTTGATTAATTTATACGGTACTGGGTTCTTTACCTCACAGCATTGTTAAACACCAATTGAGAAAACTAGAATTACTGCTTCAAAGCAATCCGCAATTATTTAACACTCAACCGAAATCACATGTTATTCTTGTTGCAGTTTCGTGAAGATATCTGTTAATCTTCAGTTTGCCATTGTATTTAAACAATTTATCGCACATTGATTACCATTCAATTTTTGAATCATTAAAAACTTCTTCATGTTGAAGGTGTGCGTGATCTGCAACCACTGATTTATGATCGTTTATATGTTAGTAGGTGACTTAAAAAAGTGGGTTCTGAATTTAATATTATACATAATGATTGACATAGGAACGCACCAGCTGAATATTTATGGCTTTTATTGCCGGTTAGACGCTCGCAAAATTGATTTTCATTAATTTATTTAAAAAAACTGATCTACTTCTCTGCTTTACTCTGGATGTTTTTATAAGGGAGCTCTTCAGCTTCGACATTTACATTAACAGTTAGAAATTTCAAACTGAAGCCCCTAATTTTTCTCAGTATTATTTTCAATCTCATTTTACTCTATTTTGTTTTGAATATTTTCTCATCTTCAGGCTCTATTTGGTTGGTCCATTCCATTTGAATGAATTTATTTACCAATAAAATTTTATAGATTGTAATTTTTATTAAGTGCGCTTTGTCCCAACTTGTCTCAAAAGTCTGCACTCCCTGATCTATGAAATGTAGAACACTCGCGTACATGGTGTATTTTTAATATTTAAATTTCCTTAATAAAAAATGCTAGAGATACTGATTCGCAGGGCGAGAAAGGTAACTTTTTTTACTCTTAGCAGTAATGCGAGACAGATACATCTTGAGATGGTGGAAAAGTATCATTGAAACATCACATACTTAAGTACATTTTATTGATTTGCTTAATAGTTATAACTTTCAATTACTTAATTACATATAATATACAATTTGAATCACACACTGTGCACTTAAAAATCTAGACTCGTAATTAATATAATTCAATTAATTCCATGATACATAATTTTTCTGGGAATTTTTTAGTTTAGTCCCATAATGGCAAAGTTCGAATTACTTTGACCAAACCTGATTTACAACAGTTGCCAGTAAATTTCTCTATCATGGAGGTAACTTTTCGGAGCTTTACAATAAGTCTTAATTAGTTATGTACTTGCAAAGTTACCTAAATGCCATTTTACAAAAATGATGTGTACTGCGATATGTGATTCAAGACAATGTACAGAGTGTTTCAGCATTATTTTACCTTTGTTTTAATTTTTGTATAGTAGGTGGGTACTACCAGAAAACATATAAATTCTTCGAGAAATTTGCTGGATAGTGTCATCTTAATATTATATCGAATTTCGCAGGAAACGGCGATGACAAAAATACTAGCATTTCAGTAAAAACCTTATATGTTTACATTTAAAACATTTTAATATATCTGAGAACGTTCTCGGATTCTTTCATTCATTGAATTTGCTATTTATTTTTGTGAGTAATTAAATTAATGACCAAAACGAATATAAAAGCTCTTTTTGAAGTGATAATCTCTTATGGCAGGGTGTGAATGGATTGGCATGCGCAACGGCGTCGATATGTCTGGCATACATAAAGACAAGTAGCTAAGCAGTTCTCTGTCGCACGCACATAACCGCGTTGGCTCCACCTGGTTCCATTCGGCCGGTCGTCTATTGTAATAGTGTGTAGACTGTGGTCCGTTTATGAGAATATAATAGTGTTTAGTCCGTGGGCCGGCTTCCTTTGGATGCGTTTTCGTCCGACCTGCTTTCGTCAAAAATCGTGCGAAAAGTAGTTGATGATCCAACTTCATTAGAATGTATAGAAACTCTTCTACTAGATCCGAAATCATTCGTACGAATTTGCACGAACGATTGTAAGTAAAATGAAATTTTCTATTGGAAAATAATTATCTTGTGAGCAGTCGATAATAGTTCAAAAGGAAGAAAAAACTATTCGGTTGCTAATACATTAGCAAAACGAAAATAATTTGGAGATAAAATTTAAAAAGAACAACATTCATTTCAACTCAGTGTGTTACAAAATTATTCTCTATTCAGTCAGAAACACTGCGAATCTGTAAACTAGTCCTATTTGTTTCAGATAGTTCGCACATCGCAATGGTTCGTCGGAATTCGTACAAAATACTTCAGTTCTAGTGGACGAGCTCCAGCACGTTGCAATGAAATTGGATTATTTGGTCCTTTTCGCACGATGTCTGACGAATGCAGTTCGGACGAAAACTACTTGCCTTTGCCAAAACTACCATAGATTTCCATTCATCTTTAGTGGATATTTTAATGTTGATTTTTCTTCTGATAGAGGCAATGAAATTTAATGTCATTTCTGGAATCAAAGTTGCATTTAAAGGTGCTAAATAATCCAGAACAAGCTACAATCGAGCAAGATAAAATCGAGTCTCACAATTCGTTTCTTATTACAGTTATCGTAAACCAATGGTCACTTTTGTAGGATTAGATAATGATTGAATTGATTGAATTGAGCCATCGTGCATTAAACAAGTTCAATACTTAATGGTATTTATTATTAACATCTATTAATAATATTTAGGTATCACTTCTGTCGTGCGTCCCGCGACTCACACCTTTTTTTAAATATGTTTCAAATATAAGAAGCAGCTACAGGAAAAGAAAAACACCGAGAAAGAGAAAACAGGAACATTAATCATTATGACAATATTGAGCTATCGTTTTTATGAATTAAATATACATAAACATTTACGTTTATTTTTTTTATTTATATACCCGCGCACAGGTAATTTATTTGCTTCTGCAGAATTACAATTTGGTATGAAAATGTAATTTAATGACCGTAATATATAACTATTACTATTTACTAAAATTCTTATTTCAAATACAAAAATACACAATTTAAAGTTAAGAAAATCCAGTGTTTTTAAACATTAATCACAATGCCTAACTTCGCAAAATTATTAAATTTAATGCAAAAACATGTTCGATTATTCCAGTACATATATGCATATTTGAGAAATTAAATATTCATAAATGGATAACAAACCCGCAAAAAGACTATGATAATATTTTTTTATAACAAATGAAATCATTATGATATTGGATAATGAACTAGACCACAAGCAAAATAATTAAAATATGTTTAATTTTAGCTTCGTATATTTTTTATAATGCAACCGTGCTTTATAATACATGTTTCATAATTGATCATTCTTCCTGCTATCGTCAACACATTTAATACACATTTTAGTTACGGGAGAAATGCGAACAATTTGTATGAATAATTGAACGCGTGGAATTAACGTTTTAATATGCAAACATCTAAAGTCTACTAAGTAATTTAAGAAAACTTACATTAAACACAAATGATTCAAAAATCTACAAATACATTAGGCATAAGCAAATAAAATGGTCACATAATTTATGATTTATGACATTTTGTGTTTCATTAAAATGAAATGTTCAATTTCCCTTATAACATTGACGATTACAGAATTTAAATACTTGGCTCCAAAAATTCAAATTGAGGCAAATAGAAAATTATACAACATACGAGGAAACACCCTATACCTTGACTGTAATGAAAATACAGTAAATTTTTCATAATCTGTGTTATGATCTGCTCAATGTTTGAGCTTATGCTTTTTCTTTGTATCGGTTTTAACAATTTGAGGATCAGGAATATTGTCTTTCGAAAATATGCTACTAACTTTTTGTCTTCAAGTATGTCACCATTTTCACGAAAATCGCATGTGTTCAGTTACCTATCTATTATTATGTCGTTAGTGTGATTCGTCATGAAAACAATGCAGCTACATACTTAATTTTAACATTTACTATACTGACTTACACTTAATAATAAATAGATAAAAGTATAAAAAAATCGAGTTTTATAGGCCAATATCATTCACGTTATAAAATACTAGTCTAAATGTTTATTATATGGATCTCCTATCATATTATTCACTTCTTCATCTCTATGCTGCATCACCAAAATATTTCTTGGCGGCAAATTTAAATTAATTTTAATTAATTGCAAAAATGCTTTTTTATACAAATAATATAACGGTGGGGAGATTTTACGTAGATTTGCCATTATGCCACTTTTGTGGGCAAAGCTTCTGCAAGCGCGAATTGAAATATTAAATAGATCGTTAAATGTTATAGAGAACATGTTATAATATGGAACAGGAAATGGGCAATTTCAGAAGATGTTCAAGATAATGTTATGTTGTGCAGATGGGGTTTGATATTTAAAGTAGGGCAACGCTATACTAGCATCGCATACCATTGCTGCATGGAATATTCCAAGCTTGAATGAAATACTTTGAATAATTAAACATGGACAGTATGAACAAATTATTTGATTTCAAAGACATGATTTAACAACTAGGAGAGCCAGATAATTATTTGCAATCACTTATAAACACTTATTTATCTACAACTATTTGGTAGTAAACAGTCAAAAATTGTATTATCTTAACATCAATGTCTAAATGCTATTTAAGCTTACTTGCTAGTGACTGATTTTAACAGTTTATAGGGACATTTGGTGAGAAAGCAAATACGAGTTTGAAACGGAAAGCCCGACTTTTACCCTGCTATGAACGTTTTAATTCGTTAATTATTACCTACAGCTATTTCAATAATTCACAGCTTAATCAAACTGGTGTATGTTACGATTTAATTGCACATTAACTATGGTCATGATCCAAACTGTTATTAAATTCATTGCATTCAATAATATAATCAACTATTTATAGACATCAACAATGCCCATCTATTTATTAATTAAACACCAACAGTTGCTAATATTCTGTTTGATTATGGAATTATTGAAATTTAATACGTCACAAAAGTAATGAAATTTTCGTTCGCTTATTGACTAAAGTATCATATTGTGATTGATTTCCCTCTAATATTTAACTAAATCATGGTGGATGGGAAACGAGGAGAAACTTGACCAGGGTAAAGAAACTAGTGAATGGAATTCAGTAGTTGATGATACTGTTCCTCTGACATTAGCTCTCCTTCAGTGCTGAAAAAGAAAATAATTTCGTTAGGCACTGATTGACATAAAACATGACGGAATTGCATTGCGTTCATTATTATAACTGGAACTTCTTTTCTACAACCGCTCCAAATGTAATATAAAAATACAAATTCCTCACAAATTTCAGTCTCTATTGAGGCCCCAATTTATTTGCCAACGTGAGTAGTTCGAAGATTAAACTATTTCCACTTGATAAGTTCCTACGAATAGACAGGGGTGCAGGTAGGTATCTGTCGTGGATAAAATATAGTTCGGATGCAGCTTTTATTCCAGAAGAGTGGATTCTACGAGTCAGAATTTTCAACTTGCGATTATGTCAGAGAAAGGTAGAATTTCGATAAAACATTTATATAAAATGAGCAAATTATTGGGCAATCCAATTACTTTTTATTCTTTCGTAGGGATTTTCTGCCACCTATTAACAACAATTATTTTTAATTGTCCTTTTCTCCGGCTGGCTATTGTTCGGTAACATGCCTTGACGGAGATCTAATGGGCAATTTTCACTAATTTTCTTCTCAGTTTTTGCATAAGCTCATAACGACTGCTTTTTTAGAACTAACCGTCGCTACAATATTTTGTAGAAAATGACAATAGGCGCTACGAATTTTAAATTTAAATTATTTAAATTTTAAAAATAATTTTGAAAGTTATTTACTTATAAACGTACTGCCGGAATTTATTAGGATGCATTTTAAGCAGATGATGAAGATTATTTTGCTATCAAGTAAGCCACCTCATAAAAGTGCTGTATTTTATTATATTCATTACTCTGGTTTAAAGCGTTATTTGGTGCTGGTCCTTCTTCCTTTCGAAACATTTAAAATAGACAGAAAATGTTCAATTTCTCATCAATAATTTTATTTAAACGTCTCTACTAGGAGTGAAGCGGGATTTTTAATAGGACCTTGAAACAATTACAGATAATTAAGTGTTAACTTTTTCAAATAAGTACATTTTTGAAAAGCATGTGATCATTAAAATACAATGCAATGGGCCATGGAAGAGTGACGTATAAATCGAAAACAGTGATCAAAAATAATATTAGATTCAAAAGTTATTAATACTAGGCAGGGCTTGCGTCTCAAAACGAACCACCTGTTATCTGTTTTAAATGTGCAGAATTGAACATAAATTCGGCCCGCTCTAACAAAGCGTATAACTGTTTTTCAACTACATGGGAGTGGCCTATAAAATAGCAATATATTTTTATTTTTACACGAGATGAGATTTTATATACTGCTATCAAAAGGGTCCACGTTATAGCAGTTTAGACCCTTTTACTCTTTTATTTCAGAAGAATTTGTTTTAGCTTAGTCAGTAACAAACTACCACTAACAATTTGAGCATTATTTATTAACAAAAGATGACAGGAAAAATTCCTCGGAACCGTTTCTATAATAAGTATTCGACTCGTAATTGAATCGATGTAAATCACAAAAAAAATCAACAAATCATAGGAATTTGAATTGAAAACAAAAACTGCGTTTGTATATTACAAAGAATCGAATACTCGAATAAAAAGTTCAGGTTAATTAACGCAGAAACTTTTGCTTTTTTCGTTGATGAGCTTGGGTGAGTTTTACGCCTGTAGCGCCCATTATTAACACCTGCTAATTTCCAAGTTCGTGAAAGCTGGACCCCTTTAACTCCTTTGATTTTTGATTATCTGATTTTCAGACTAGTAATATCGGTATTTTATTTGATTTACATGCTTCGTTTTCTATCTATGCATGAAATGTTATTGGTTAGAAACGTGACGCCTCGGTCATTTTCCAATGTTGGATATGGTGATTTTTCACTATTTAGTTCGTATACACACAAACTGAACGCTATTGAAACTTTAAAGCAAAAGTTGACATGAACGCCCATTGTTTTACATTATGTTTAGGCATGCAATGTATGCATATTTATTTTCCACTAGTTTGGATCTGTTCAGGTAAGATATTTACTTTTGAATAATAAAAACAGCACTGATATTGTTCAAACACTCATGGCCTGAAGATATTTCCACAAATCAATTATATTTTTCATTTAAACCCTCAATACCTACTAGAATAATAACTAAAAATAGTATATGTATAGAATTATCGAAATTTGTTAAATTCTGTATTGAATTTACTGATTTGTTTTTTCAATATTGTTTATCGACTTTAAATAGAAGGTTAGCTTCTTCTTCTCACATTTTTGGTACTTTTACCGGCTCTTTGTAGATAATTAAAATACTTTCGAGGGAAATAATGATCATAAATCTGAAACCACTGAATGGATAAAAAATTTAGAAACAAGCATGTATTTTATCTATAGGTCTTCTTGATGACCTTTCAAGCTTAAAGATGTTTAGAAACATCGTACCAACACGCCGCAGGAGGTTGTTGGAATGATTTTCAGGAAGTTTTGAGGGTGTTCGCAACAACAATAGGAATTTAAACTTTCCGAAGTATTTTCGCTTAAGTTACCGTTATTGCACAAGAAGGGACGTGTTCGAAATGCCAGCCTGTTACGTGCTTACATTATTCGGACTAACAGGATTGGCTGCTGTTTCATTAATGTGGGTATTTTCTGAAAGTGTCGTCTTTGAGAGCAAATCCGAACTTTACAATTGGTGTCTTTAACGATGTCTTTGTTGACTATATTCGCATTTTTGTTTGCATTTGCATTAAAACTTTAGCCAGGATTGTGTCTGTAGAATATCCAGGACAGTAGTTCTATACTTACAAATACTTTTCTGTATACATGTAAGAAATAAAGTTTGGAAATTAATATTCATTAATTGCTTCTTTAAATTTAAGGTTGTAGCTGTAGGTTCTTAATATTTAAGGAATCGTTCATCAAACCAGCCTTAATTGATAACACGTAATTAGACAGTTATCAGCAACTGATTTAAGAATAACTATTGCACTTAAACGCCTTTCCATATTTCGAGGTTTTTTGAAAATAGATCATTCGTCTGCCGGCCCATTCTTCAATAAATATGAGGGAAACATCAATTAGCTCTTGGCAAAGTAATGCATTTCTATTTAAGTATATGTTTGTGTGAACGATTCCTGAATGATGATGGGCTGTTTCAAATCCACACTTTGCTAAATTACTTCTCTACCTGCCATGATTCACAAAGTTTATCTTGCACTAAATAAATCAACTCTGCGTTATGGCTTTGATTTTTTATTTCCACAATTTCGAGTCTTGACAGCAGGGAATAGGAAAAATGTTCAGTTTCAGCTATTTCACCTTCAGGGAGCGAGTCGGATTTAAAACTCGAAGCAACAAAATATTATGGCGAAGCGCCAACAAAGGAAACTATTATCGAGACCATTTACTTTCTAAGAACGTTTTATGAATCGTTTCGTCTTGAGCTTCGTGAATTGTGCAGTCTTGTTGCACCAATTCCAAAATATGGGCATCTTAAATGTGGCCGGGAATACTAAAATAATAGCCGGCTCTCAGATTACAAAAGCGACGAAAACTGATGTTTTGCGGCCTTAAATCGACTTCTTTCGATTAAGACCATAAAACAAACCGGCAAAACAAAACATACACCTTTTTAAGTCTTTAAGTAAAAAGTCATAAAAAAGTTACGGTTTTGTTCATTCCTATGATATTGATATAAAACCAAAAACAGCAAAAGTGCAGATTACTTTAATCTTTTTACTAATAAACACATTTTTTCTCTTTCCTTCCTGACTGATTGTCAAGGGCTGCACATTTATAGAGGGTATCTGCCGACGGTCTTAAGAGACTTGTGCCGTTGATTCTTTCGCCAGATTAGGCTGTTCTGCTAATTTAATTTAGCTCTATTTAGGTGGCTTTAAAGTTTCGCGGTTCAGATGTTGTGACGACGTGTACATTGTTTAAATCGGTTCTTTTTTATTTATAAATTTCTAACAATTCATACATATGTGTGTATCTACTCTTTGTACATCAATTTCCACGTTATATGTAAGTACTAGATTCTACTAAGTACAAATCGTTATCAAAACTGTTGAATTGTCGACAAATTCATACATTATAAAATTATTATCTCAAAAAATGTTTGCTTAAAATTTTAGAGATATAACAAGCTTTTCACGTCTAGGAATTAAAAATTATCCTACAATAGAAAATGTAGGCCCTGATATGATATGCTATGGTTTGGCACCTAATTTTTTGCATTATTTTGGGCTTGGATGTTGAAAAATTAAAGTTAAATTGGCTTATTCTCACACAATCAAAATGTAGTGGAAGGACGTAGATTATCTTAAAGAACATCAATATCCAATATATTTACTACATTTTTATATAAATTTCATTAAAAATAAATATATTTGAAACTTGACGATTAAATTAGGCACTCGACAAAATTTGACGATTATTCGATTGTATTTTTTTTATATGTATAATATATATTATACATATCGAATTGACTGATCGATGTAGTTATTAAAATGCTTCTGAATAGATTGAAATGGATTACTTATTGAATACTTTTTCTGCACTTGATTTCTTCTTTCTTGAATATTCTTTGAATATTCCAACGATTTATTATTTGTATTCAGTATCCGCTCGGGAATTATGAAAGTAATTGAAATTCACTGTTTTATAATATCGACGTCAAAAAGTAGATTTGAAAGCTTTATGAAGTTTTCTTATATTGCCTCATTCATTAAAATGAATCATTTCAAATTGTATTTTTATTCCGTCGTTTCCAAAGGTAAGAGTTGGAAAGTCTGAAAGCCAAGCAGACCATAAATGATGTCGCTCAATTAATAATACTGATAAATTAGCAATGGCATATAACTGAAGTCTTTTTAATTGAGAAAATGGACAAATAGTATGACTCAGTTTTAATGATGCTCATTTGAATAGTGCAGTTGCTAACTATTGAATTGAAGTAGATTTGTGAGAACGATAAATATTCTAATTTTTCCTTAAAATAATAGGATGTGATTTTAATATTTTTACCGAGTTTATACTATACAGTGTACTGTATAGTGGAAATATATTCTTTGTTGTAAAATGAACAATTTTGTAAAATTATTAAATACTTCATCAATGGAATACCATTGAATTTCTCGAGTACGGCTGATCGCAAATGTTGCTTCATACCTAACCAGCATTTTTACGATTTTTACGGACAACCGTAAATAAGTTCAGAAGAAGTTTAAATCATTATACTAGGTGGATTCTTTTCCAACTAGTAAAATCCTTCGAATCCAATCCAGTTTTGTATTTGCTTGTTAGCAAGAACAAAATACGTTCGTGTAAGTGCGCCAGTTCTTTCACTATATTTTGAATTTGAAATATCTTTTGAAAAACTGCTATTTAAATATGTCTTTCCTTACCCATAATCTATCGTTCTTCTTCTTCTTCTGCGCTGCACGAATAATTCGCTGGTGGATTCTATGCAAAGCAAGATCAGTTTTTTGTCACAGGATATCGGATTTTGATCCAGAAGCATTTGCCCTTTGAGGCTTCCAGCCAATCCAAACTTTCCATAAGACGATGAATGCCATGCTTCGCATGATACATCCAGAGCTCGAGTCCCATCTAGCAAAGCTCCATGCCAAGCTGCTTTTATTGGCCAACTGGGGTCTGTCATTACGTTTTTACCTATTAGAAAGACAGAAAAATCCTTAATGAAATTGAGAAAAAACTATTCAATCACACCTCATGATAGAAACAATTAATGGGATTGTTTTGTTCTAAACTTTTGAAAATAAATATTTGCTTGTGTGACAGTGTTTCACTAAAACTTGTGAAACTTGAAAAGCGCATTGTTTCTCGGTTTAAAAATGTTCGAACTCTAGGATTTTTAGTCAAGTAAAACGAAAACTCCACATGTAATACTGCGTCTAGCTTTCCATATTGTTTGCTGATTACTAAACTACTCACATGGGATAATATTATTATTAATAAGTTTACAATCTTTGGTTGATAGTCACATGCCATTAAGTGAGCGATGAAGCAAACGATTTTAAGCTTCACACACTGAAGCCCCAGAACGTAAAATAAATTAAAAAAAACTGTTGAATATTTAAATAATTTAAGCCATCTTGCATATTTGGACTAGAAATAGAACTTACCATTGAAAGAGAATATTCTCGGCTGATGCGAAAATGGAGCTCCTCTTCCATCGAATATATCCTGCCATGAATCGAATAATACTTCGCCCCGTAAGTTGCAAACCGGTAATACTCGATCGATTGGTCGCACAATAGAACTCACATCCTGAGACCGGGTTGACAAAAATGCCCTGTAAATTAAAAACAAAATTATATCTAAGTATCTCAATAAGCAGCATATTAGCATCCGGATTTAAGAACAATAATCAGGGTTGTTCGTGTAAAATAATTTTTGTTCTAAACGTTATGAATATTTACCAGCTCTAAAAAGAATCGTGGTTTAATGCAAATATTTTCCCAAATATTTTATAATATACGCTCGAAAGCTGTTTTTCCACCCGAGTTTACACGATGATTTATTAATTTATTTATGTACCCAGCAAGAAAATCCACGTGGGGGATTAAAGCGCATTTTAAACAGTTTAGCTTTAAAACGTTGGCTGTTCCTGGAAGGCAGCTTTATTTGATGCAAAAGAAAAACTCAAAATTGCAACTTTTACTGCCATTAGTTAATGCAACATCTTGCCTTTCTTTTTAAATTAACTTGTTAAGTTCTTAGTTGACCCTTATCTATCTATGGCTGTATATAAGCTGTTTAAAGTTGCATATGTTTTGAATTTTATATTTATAACAAGTAACTTTTATTCAACTTTAAGACAAGTCACTTTGTTACTTTTTAGAGGCCCGATGCTGGCCTAAATAAAGCCGAAACATTGGCCCAAGAAAAATAGGCGTTTTTTCCGCCACTATCAATTGACCGATCAATCTAATATAAAGAAAGCGACACCTATTACTAATTATCTTCACGGTCACCAAGAAACCTCAACTTAATATATAACAATGTCCCAAGTTGGGTAAACTAGAACAAATTTATATATCATTTTAATAAAAATATTAGTGTCTGTGCTAAATAACGTAGGAAAATGTACAAATATCCCCCTAAAATTCTTGCCTGAAGTAAAGTACTAAATACATGTGATTGTGCTCAGACAGTAGTAAATACTATTCAATTAGCTCACTCGTTTTATATGCAATGGATGTGAGTATCTCAAATGATTTCAACAAAATCTGAACAGATGCAGAAAAGTTATTTAAAAGTGAACTGTTCCACATAGCACGGGGAAGATATACGTTTCGAAGTTAGAGCTTTGAGCTGAGGATGGCTTAGAGTTCTAAACACAAACTGCAAATACGACAGCTGCAATATTATTGTTTTTATTTTTACTATCAAAGACAAGATCGTAAAATCTGGTGCCATCTGTCTCCGTATAAAATCCTAGCATAAAATATTGTAATTTTAAGAAAGTTCTTTCCCGAATAAAATTCATCCTCAAAAAGATTGGTTTTTCTGTAATGAGAGAGATTACTCTAACGGGTAACCTAAACCGCAGGCCTAATATCAGATTCATCCGGCTTTATACAAACAAGAACGTAGTAGTAGCTAAAGCAAAAAGGAAAGTACTTAAAATGGAAGCCTAAGTTTTTCGTATCAACAAAATACGGTTTTAGCGTAACAATGCTTTTTACTATTACTATAAAGAGGTTTCCGCCATTACAGTAAACATTATCTTTTGGGTTAAAAAAGTTTCTATTTACGGACGCAAAGTGCTTCTAAAAATTTGGGCCAATGACAACAGAGCGGCTTTAGTAAAATGAACTTTGCTATTTTATTATAACAAAATTTCGCCTTCGTGTCTAAACACTTACATTTTTGGTAGGTAAAAAAGGTTCATCAGCGCAATGAGACAGACGCCTTTCATGTGAATTGCTTAATGCGTTTCGATTAGTTGACAAAACCAACAAAAAATATTCTTTGTTTATGTTTTTTCGCTAGGAGTAGGGACGAATGTTCCACTGAATTTGGAGCTGTTGTTACTGTTGGTAGGGTTGATTACATTCTGATGTTATTTCACTAAATTCGAACTGATTCTGCTGTCTAGGCCATAGCTAAAGTTAATTGGAAATCGAAAAGGGGTTTAGTTTCTTAAAAAAGATTGAATGCGGTTTTTTTGAGATTTTAGATATTTATAAAATATGTAAAAAAAAACTTACCAATTGAGCTTAAAGAGTTTACTAATTTACATTACAGCAATTGCACCGTTCAATTTTACTTATCAACAGGGAAGATGGCAATTAATAACAAATCAATCCAAAAAATGTTCGAAATAATAAATCAAATCTTAATGCCTAATAAGTATAAGTGTAATACTCTTCTGATCCACGTATGCATGTGGATTATTTCTAATTAAATTAGTTGCTTTATTGATAGGCAGTTTTGATATTGTTTGTCTATTAAGATTTGTTATTAAGTGTTAATTAAAAATATCATAAAACGGAATTACGGAAAGCAAATTATGTTTGCTCATATCCTCCAAACAAAGTATGGGATTAAGCCGATAGTTGCACTTAAAATATTATTAGGGAGATCTGCATTTTCCAAAAATCCAAGGTAACACATTTTGACACCATTTGAGCAGATTTCAGCGCGATCCCTTCTTTATAGTGTTAAAATTATTATTCTAAATTCTTTCCTAGATACAAAAGGGCAGTAGGACAATAGTTTTCCTATCAATATTTCACTCACTTATTTTGCGATAAATTGACATTTTTTTTAGGAGATGAACAGCAATATGAGATTTACATTCCTAAAGTAACTTAATACAAAATTTCCGGCCTTTTTGTTTGACCTGTATTAACGTGTTTAGCCAGGGTCTAGGGATAAACTTTAATTTATGGTACAAAGTTTAAATGCTTATTAGTGTCTTCCTAAGTGTTTCAACTGTTTGCCATCAATTTTAACGGGCAACTCAAGTCTTCATGGAGTTGAGAAGTAATTCTATTATGCAAGTCTTCTCTTGAAATCGTTCAGTTTTTGATATATTCTGCGGAGCTGGTACTGAGGAAAATATCATAAATGTTTTATTGTATGTTGAGCTTAATTGGCATATAAATACTACAGTTGTTGCAGTGGATTTAGGTATGATAAACTATAGCGTGAAGTTTCTTGGATTATGGATCAACCAAGAATATTTTCTTAATTATATATTTAATACCTTTATTCTAATGTTATTGTCACACTAGATGCATTGCCGAATAGATAAGTAATGTTATGTTGTCATTATAAACTGGTGTTATTTTTTTTACATTTATTTCATGTTACCTATGTTACATAAAGTTGTAACCTGGATATTTTGATCGCCGTTTGTACCATCATTCTCTCATTCATTAGACTGGTACATGTATTTCCTAAGAAATTACTACTATCAATTTTACAAGATTTGGCTTTGGCAACAAAGCAAAATATGCTTCAGTCGTCCAGTATAACTTTACAATTACAATCTAGAAAGCTACATAGGAAGGGGCCGTGTATTTTTTATGTTTGCCAAACCCCTTGACTTTACCAACTTAGATTTACCTAAGGAAAATTTAAAACCGAAATGTTTCAAATTAAATCTATTGCAAAACAACGTTTGATTAATATGGAATTACTGTTTTAGCACGTCGTATTCTGACACCTGAGCTGTAAAGAGCTTCTGTTCAGACACCGATCTTACCGACTACACATCGACACCACTAACGACTCTAAACGACCGACTCTAAACGACTAAATTTGTTGATCACTTAGGAAGACACTAATAAGCATTTGTATTATAATTTTAAGACCCTCATCATTAGGATAACGTTGTAACATAACTTTAGGTCTCCAATCAGTTTAGTTTTAACCAAATATTTCGCCTTTTGTGTTTCTTTTACTTTCTAGTCGGTTAGGAGAGACACGGCTTGGTCATCTGGTCGAATAAAAAATATGCCGTTTTATTAAGGCTATCGAAGTAAAACCACTTAATTAGACTTTTTTTGCTTGTGCCAGCAAAACCAATTACATACTTTAGCATTTTCTCTTCGTCACATTTTTTATAAAATATACATATAATAAAAACGCTCTCTTTTTTCCTAGAAATATTCACAATCTGATCATCAAACTTCGTTTTGGTATAAATCTGTCGTCAAAATATTATATTTTATAGAAGTTTTGTTTGTAAATTCCAGTGATATAAACAATGTAAATCGGGGAGCATCCCTAATAGAGGGATATAAGCCTATTGTAACTGGAGTGGTATAAAAACGACGTTTTACGCCTGTTTTTTTAATCTTGATAATGGATCTGGCAAATATCCGACAATGCGATTTGGGGATTTAGTACCTATTGAATATTTGGGTCCAATGAGTTTAGATTTTCCGGTGCAGAAATTCACACCTGGTCTTTTTTTAGGTGGTTTGCAGTCTGATTTATTAAATGTGTTACTTTAGTTCCAAACATACAATTTTCGTTAAAAATTCCCGGGCTGTTTGAGTGAATCGTTCGATCCATTTAATCGAATTAACATGCAAACAAACGTTACTTCGTCAGAGAGCTCAAAATAAATACAGGGAGTAATTTTGGCTGATATAAACAGTTATTTGATTCCGCAAAGCTTTGGAGAGATAAACAATTCGATAAATAAGCAAGTTTATTTGCCTAACCGAGATCATTAGTAGCAGGCAGTAGCAAGACAAAATTGGCACTAATTAAAATTAGCCTATTAACCGCTGTACTTACCGGTGCTTGAAAATCTTTATAGTTTGTTCATTTGGGTATTTTGTGGAAATGTTAGCGATTCTTAAATATTTATTCAGTGATGGAAATTACAAAATATTGTTCATTTTGCGAGGACGTTTTGACTAATTAGCATTATTTATTTGTGCATATTGCCCACAACAGTCCACGCAGTAGGTACTCAATTTTGAACCCAAATCTATTATTTCAAGCATTTATTCTTAATTAGATCATAAAATAATTTAATAAATCTTACTACATAAATAACGTACTAACTTCAAAAACAAACTCATATGGTTTGGATGAACTGATAATGAAACAGGATGTTCAGAACTAATATGAAGATATTTTGGTGGTTCTAGAGATTAAAATAACACTGAAAAGTTCTTATAGGGATCTCGAATCGCAAATACTGCTTGTTAAACTAGATGGAACCCCATTGTAGATGTGTTTTAGTATTATTTTATAAACAAAAATCTGAAATTCTTTAATAAATGCGAACGAGAAACCCTTTTACATATTTGATAAATAAAGAATTATAGGTTTTAGTCTAATATTATAAAAAATGTCCTATGTAAATATTTTCCAAATTTTTTTGCTTATATTATTTATTAATGTTTGAAATAATTTACTGAGTTTTATTAAGGGGCTCGAAAAAGGGGTATTTAAGTTAAGTAACGCCATATATAAATTTATAGAATGACACTCATACATTTCCTTGTTTAAGACATTGTATGTCGACGACACATACAAGTAGAAGATTAAATCGTTGTTTTGTAAATCTGACTTTCTACCTTTGCGTAAATCACATAATACCATTCATTAATTCAACACTATTTAAAAAACTCAAATAATTAAAATTAAAATAATAAAAGGATGGTCAACAAAAACAGTAGATGAGAGATTTTGAAAACTGAAGAACACGATTTATAAAATTGTACAGAAATTAATTAAATTGTTGACTGACAACTGAAAACATGTTTGTGACATATGTATGTACGTATATTTGAAGTATTTCACTAAGACTGATTTACCAAAATCGGAAAAAATCGCCTATAGTAGTCTACTTTTGTGTCAACTTTACATCGTAAATTATTGACGGACACAATTTTCTACTTTCTCGTTTATTTGCTTTTACTAAACTTTGACATTTTTTATTTTAGGTCTGCAATCGGCAAGTCAAGACTGGTAAGTTAACATTTTATTATTAAAGCATATATTTTTTGGAGATTATACCAAAGAAAATAAATAATTTGGAAAACAATAAATAGTAATATCTCCGTGTGCAAAAGTAGTTCGTTTAGTTTAGGTATCTAATTTTCTAATTTTTCTCAAGCTAAGCATTGAGAGGTGGTGGTTTTTTTTATACAATATAATGTAAAGAAATTACGTTTGGTGAAGCTCGCTGGCAGAAGCTTCGTTCCAATGGTGTACTTATTTAACAATTTGTATTGTCGGAAGCCAAAATATTTGCGGTTTTCTTGCAAGTTTATATTGTAGATTATTGTACGTACTTTCCTGACTGTGTTTCAATTCCAAAATTAAAATCAAATCCTGGGTTCTTCAGTCATTTATTGTTCATTTATCAATTTAAAAAAACGTTTCGGTGTTTTCCACCATCATCAGTTTTAATGTGTAGCGT